ATAGGTGTCTCTGTTCATTGCAGGAGAGCTGGACCAGAAGGTCTTTAAAGACCTCTTACAACTCAAACAATTTCTATGATTCTACAATTCTCTAATTACCGTAGTGTTCCACTGCCCACTCCATCACACTGATGCTCCACATGGTGTAGATCAGATGAGGAGACCTAGAGCTCAGTCCTGCTCCCATCTGAACGCGTTGCAAACTTCAGCTAACTTTAAGAAGTCAGAGGAGGCTCTTAGGAGGCAGTGATAAAAAGGACTTGTATTAGAGATATTTTCCCCCTGCTACAAGGAGGGGTATATCAGCTGCTCATGGAATTGAGAGCTCATGGTTGCACGGTTATCTACATCTCTGAAATGGTTGTTGAAAGTGATAGGTTGTTTTCTGTTAAGTTTTAGCTCTGTTAAGGATAGCTAGAAAGGATAACTAGAAAAATATCTGAGTTTAGAGTCGTTTATTTCTTTTTTCTTTTTTCTTTTTTTTTTCAGAGCCATAGGGAAAGTGATTGCATTGTCTGATGTGAGGAAACATGAAAGACTTCAGGAAACGCTCTGTTACCAATCTCTTTCCCTGCAGTTCTCCTGTTAAACAGATTTTCTGTTCCAAAATGCTGAAAATCACTTTGCGAAAAATGCCTCCCATATGGTACAACTGATTTGCAGGCACTTTATTGTCATTAAACCATTATGGTCCAGATAGAAAGTCAGTATCTGCTCTACTGATAACTCAATAAAATCTGCTCAGCCTCTAACAGACCAGCCAGGCTTCCAAGGATGCTTTGAATAATTGAATCCCAGGGTCTATCAGATCAGCCTGAGGGAGGTGGAGTGCTTTGAGGTGGCCTTTGATGCCTTTTTCTTTTCTCCTTGAGAATTTCAAGTATGCTTTTCAGAAGAAAATTTCCTGTATCTGTGTAATAAGGACTTGGATCATAATTAGTTTCTAGTAGCTGTTAGCATCCTAAAGAATTGCTTGTGTATAAGCAGAACAGCCAAGAAAGACACAGAAATAGAAGCTAGCCTGCAAATATTGCAAAGTTAGTGTGAAGAAGGATAATTGCATGTGTGGCCAATACAAGCATAAGCAGAAGTTCCTAGCTTCTAATTAGTGTGTCATATTACTGTGTTTGTGCTTCAGATATCAAACAGTGGTTCTCTTTTCAGACGTGTAAATAGTAACTCTCCCTTATGTTTGAAGAAGTATCATTGTAGCACTGTAGTTATTTAATACAATCTCTGAAAATATTTCTGTTTTGCTTCATTTTTTACCACTGAGTGCTCGGGACCTCTGACTGTTTCTGTGAATCATTCTTTGGATAATAATCTCCCTTTTTTATAAAGCAGGTTAATTTTTAGTTTTCATAATCAACAAAACAATCAGAAACATCAGCAGCTAGCAAAATCAGTTTATTTATTTATCTGTACTGTCAGAAGTTTGAGTTCATCAAGGGTAACCAAGTATTATTGTAAATACAAGCTATTGCAAGGGTTAATAGCATTTTCAGCACAGTGTGGTAGATCTCTAGCTGTTTCAGATATGTGGAGCTGCAGCCACATGCGTTGTTTCTCTTGCTGCTTCCTTGTTAGCATATTGCCTTTGTCATTAATGATGAAGAAACTTAAATTTGTTTTGATTGTACTCGAGTGTAATGTAGGATTTTCCCTCCTTTCAGAACTTCTGCTGTTCCTAGTACACTGATTACAACAATTTGTTATATGATGAACTATATTTTTGCACTGCAAAAGGCTTTTTAACAACTTGTTTATCTGTCAGTATTGATACAGCGCTCGGTGTGACCACCTCAATGTCATGTACTTATAATCAGGTGGTGCAAGTAATAATTAAAGGTGGCTCTGTGTATGAACATTTAGAAGAGCAACTATGGGAGGGAGAGAGCAGTTCTAATATACTGAACTATTTTTCTGATTGTGACAGGTACTCATGCATATTCATACAGTATTTCACCAACAGAAGTGGTGACCCACTCCCGTCAGCTGGGTTTTGGATGGAGAGCAGTGTCCAGCTAATGGCATAGTAGCATTCAGTAGTAGAGTTCAGTCCCATGAGGAATCGTGGATCCTTGGGAGAGTCAGCTGTGGGATGTGACAGTGGGATGCTGGATGTTGTGTCAGCCTCCTGATTGTGTGGCTGATGGCTGCCTTCAGGGGCATTTTGAGAGGACCAGTCAAAAAAACACAAAAGCAAAAGGGAGTACCTCCCTCAGAGGCTCAAGTGGATCAGCTCAGCATTAAAACCCAAATGAGGGCTTGCAAGGGACTGCAGATGCTGCATGGGGTTGTGGTGGTGCTGCAGGAGGTTCTGCCAGAAGTCTCATCCGGAGCTGACCCTGGCCATCTGAGAGGCAGGTGGTTTGGGACACTTGCCTGGCCCTGGGCTTGCCCTCTTCTGTTCATCTTTTGGATCTTAAGTTCACATTGCTCTGAGAAAGATGGAGTTTCTTAAACGACTTTCAAAAAAGTGGTGGATTCATCAGCAAGACAGACTGAAGGTGTTAATGGGCAAGGATAGCATCTAAATTTAAGTTGAGCTCGTTTATTAAAGAAAAGGACTATTTTAAGATGATTTTACAACTGATTTAGGTTTCATTGTACTTAATAGTTGTTTAAGCAATGCCAGAGATTATAACTTCAGTCTGCAGAAATTCACATTAGCTATAGTGGAATAAATGGTTTGTGAACAATCATTTTGTAATGGAGCAGTTCTCCTTCCAGCTGAGAACACTGTTGAACAGCTGTGTGCAGATTCAGCTTTCCAGCACAGAAAGCTGGAAAAGAGTGGGGCAGTCTCAAGATTTCGACTCAGTGTGATGCTGACTGAATGCAGATGACTTAAGTGGTTCCTGTCTTCAGTTCTGTGCTTTGCCTGTGTCTTGAAGGCTGCTGCTATTCCTCCAGCAGTGCTGGCTGAATGACGCATGCAATGTCTGTTTACATTTATTAGCCAAACTGTAGAAGTGCGTTTGGGAGCGGATTCACATCAGGCACCACTTGTAGCTGCTGCAGTTGTTGTGGCTGGGAAGTAAGAGTGCATCATTGCTGGGCTGCTGAGAGCATCTGAAGAGCAGGAAGTAGTGAAAATGGCTGGAATTCAAAATGGGTTGTAGGTAGTGAGGTTGTATTTACTTGGGCTTTCCATATTGGAATGTTACATTCATCAGGTAAAAGAAAAGCATTCCTGTAACTGCAAGGGCATTCAGAAATGGAGGGAGGTCTCGTGGCTATTCCTGGCCTTTGCTTACATGTGAAAATGTTCATCTTGTGCACAGATGCACTTGCTTACAATTTGGGGCATCACTGACACCAGGCCAGAGCAAAGGGTGGATTTTGAAAGCGACAGTGTGAGTCACCGAGAGAAGACAAATGCAGCAACGCAGAAGAACCAGAAAAAGTTAAATGTATAGAATATGTGGAGTAACTGTGTTTGGGATTAGCTCTGGGTCTGGAGACTCCGAAATACTGACACCACTGGCAAATACTTGCAGCAAGTGCTGTTGCGTGATTTTGCAATTCTGCAGAGGCCTGGAGAGAAGCACATTAATCCTGTTGCCACACACAGGGCAGTCTTGTTGGAAATCAGTGTCACTAGGGGTTGGCTTTCCCAGCATGTCTTCCTCATCTATTGCAGAAGTGCAGCATCTCCATGTCATCTCTGAGGAAAAGTCTGCTGGGTGCAGAGGAATTCAGCATTCTAAGTGACACTGCAGGCAAGAGGAAGTGAAGGGTGATGGGTTCAGGTGTTCGTTGGTCACAGAAGGCATCTGAAACCTGTTCTTGTATTTGATGATGGCTGCTGTGGTCTTTGCAAAAACATTGGCTGAATGAAAGGGGGGATTTCTGTGGCTGTAACAAGAATGGAGCAGGATCAATCATTAGCATCCAGTTCCAGGCACTGGTGTGTTAGGAAAGACAGTCATGAAGAGCTATGTTCTCTGGCATGGAAGGGTTCGTGGACATCCACAGGGTTCCATGCATCATCCAGAAAGCAGCTGGGCACTGTTTTGTGGAGCAGGTTGAGATTTACTCAGTGGAATATCAGGAGGTTTGGATCTTAGCATAATTTCCTGTAAATGAGCCCTTTGCTTGATTTGAGATTGCTGCACACAGGTCGGTGGATAAAGTCAGCATCTGAAGTGTCAGACAGCTCTGTGTGCCATCTCGGCATACCCCAGCTGGAAGCAAGTGGGAACAGTGGGTGGGGTTCCTGAAAGGGGACTGCAGCCCCGTCCTGCTCCTTTGGGCGACCAAGCTGCCTGGATTCCCCTGTCCTAAGGCAGTGGGGAGCCAAAGTCTGCTGAACCTGCTGGTTTGGCAGTTTCGTTTGGATGCGTTGACATGGGCTGTCTGCATCGGTTTTCTGCCGATGTAATAAGCTGAATTTGTTCAGGTGCTGAGGCTGCTGGCCAGGCAAGGACCACCCTTTGCAGCATCACTTCTGCAGTCACTGTTAGCTCATGGCTGGTGGTGTTTGAATAGGTGCTGTAAAACCAAAGGCCAGTGCAGGTGGAGAGAGCATGGGTTGCGTGTGTGGGTTTGAAATAATTAATAGTCTGATTAGGAAAAATTTAGGATTAGAGAAGGTATTGGAGAGCTAAGAGTATTAGAATGGAGCAACAAAATAAAAACATCATCCCTCCACTCTGGTTCCTGCGGAGAGCAGCGCATGCTTTTAGCATGTGAATAGCTGCAGTTCTGAGAAAAGGGAACAGAGTCAAACTAATGGAGGATCACAGTAATCCTGACAACTTTCTCTGAAGACATATTCTCTTCTCTACTGCTTTTTCCATTAACAGTGAGCTTGTTTGCATAAAGTTGGTGCTTAATGTGTTCAGGTTGATGGAGGAGGAAATCTTGCAGTATCTTGCTTGCTTTGGTCGCTGTGCTTTGCTGTCCTAGGGTTTGGTTTGGTGTTCAATGGCCAGAATGCTAACGATTGAAATAGTTGCTGATGTGCCTCCTGCCTTCCCTTTGCTGTCTTCTAGAAAATCTCCGGAAGAATTGGACATGGATAAAGTGACAGCAGCCATGGTACTGACCAGTTTATCCACCAGCCCTTTGGTTCGCAGCCCTCCCATCCGACCCAACGGTAAGCCTTGTTGTGCTGAAAAACCCACACCTGGGAATGGAGGACAGCTGGTGCAGGGGGGCAGGGAGCTGAAAGGAGAAGAGTGGCTCTGCTTGCTGGCATAACGGTCTGCTAGCAGCATTGGGAGCTGGTTGGCAGGAGTTGCAGTGCAGTGAAGGAGAAGGCAAGAGAGGCTGGAAAGTAGTAATGCTGGGATAGCACCAAGATGCAGGCCATGGGTAAAGGATGGGCAGAAAGGAGAAGGAAGTGTTTCCTTCCCAGTGAGCTGCTCCGTGAGGTGGGAGGTGCCCTCTGACCAGGGAGGACAGGAGGGGGAACAGGTGCCACGGAGCCTTCTGTCCTCACTGAGGCTCTGCCTGTCTGAACAGTGTGTCTGCAGTTGCTCATACACAGTACACGTACCAGCAGTTGCTCCTGCCCATACAGCACTGAGATGGGCTGTTCCTCAGCTCTGTGATGAGCTGAGCAGTCTGTGGGCTGCAGCCCTTGTCTGACATCTGTGTGGTACCGGCTTGCAATGGCAGGGCTCTGCTTAAGGCTGGGGTCTGCAGTTCCTGCCCAGTTTATCTGTGCTCTCTACAGCTCTGGGGCCTGCTGTCAGACCCATAACCCCTTACAAGGCTGCTTAATTCATGGTGTAACACGAGGCACCCAGATAAAAACACACAAGAAGTACGTGATCATAGTAGAAAGGCTAAGGAATTGTGATTAAGCTATGAAAGCTTGGCTGGAGGTACAAGAGGTGGTTAAAACTGATATATTTTAAGGACTAATCTTAAATGAGGACCCCTCGTTAGGATGTATCAGCATTGTTTGTATGACGCTGGCTTTTCTTATTCACTTGCAGCTTTTAAAATAGATGCTGACTGTACTCCTGTTGTAAATGAGTGCTAAGAGGAATACTTACAGATTGCAGTTAATAGGAATGTACTCTTTGCAGGTCTCACTGTTACCGGGGATGACCCTCTGAAAGGCTTGGTTATGCTTAGCAGACTTTGTAAGGGCAGGTAGTGACTGGATGAGGGGAAATGTCTTCAACTGGAAGAGGAGAGATTTAGACTAGATATTCAGAGGGCATTCTTTACTGTGACTGTAGTGAGATGCTGGAACAGGTTGCCCAGTGAGCTTGTGGATGCCCCCAGCCTGGAAGCATTCAAGGCCAGGCTGATGGGGCTGTGAGCAGCCTGTTCTGAAGGGAGGTGTCCCTGGCTATAGCAGGCGGTTGGAACTAGGTGATCTTAGGGGTCTCTTCCAACTTCAACCATTCCATGATTCTAAGATTCTGTGATTAAGTGTAATCTTTGAGGAATGCCCCAGTTTTAAAGGAATTTATATGAGCATTATGGGTTGTTTGTTTTTTTTCTCATTTCTTTGCAGAAAATGTAAGCTTTGTCCATTTAGCTCAGTAGCTGGAAGTGTAGCTGTGAGAAGCCACGGATGCCATCTGTGTTGTGGCATGCACCTTCCAGGTGTTTAAAACCAGCACTGTTTATTGTTAGCACTGCCGTGATGAGCCCTGAGGAGGCTCTGACGGTGGCAGCCCTGTGGGATCAGAGCAGCTGGGGCACACTGGGGTCCCGTTAGCAACCCTGTCATGGTCTGGTGTTGCTTGTGGGGCAGAGTGGTGTCAGTCACCTCCGTCAGGCTGAGCAGGTGGCAGCTCCCAAAGTGCACGTTAGCTGGCATGGCTTGGTTGGGAAGATCTCCCAAAGAAGCCTCTTTGAATTACTAAGAACTAAATGGTAGCTGATAGATGCATTTGATACTTCTCTATGCAGGCGGAGTGCTTGATTTGATATTCTTCATGTAGACGGTTTGCATCTTGCCTGAAATCTGGGAAGACAAGCCTGAAAAAGCGATACAGATATTTTCAGTAGTCAGACAAGATTTTGAAGCTGTTGTTGAGCACGTTCTCCCTGAATATCTTAATATTTCCCAAGTGGAAGCTTACTAAAGATTTCAATAAAAATGCAAAGATTGGATAATTTAAAACTCACTTGGTATGGCAAGGCTGGGCTCTGCTCTTAGCAGTGTGAGGTACAAACCTAGTAATGATGAATTCCTTGTACATCCTTTCCCCTCACAAAAGAGGCAATAAGCAGCAGTAATTACAGGAGCATTTCTTTTAAAATAAATTCTTTAGAATTTTGCCTGGAAGTAAAACAAAATAATGATATTGGCATTAATGTGAAAATCCAATCTTTGCTGGAATTACTGGGTGTGATTGCCCACATAAATTGGATCAGAGTTTGGCCCTTGTTTCTCTGCAGCTGAGTAATGCTTGGTCTGGTTCTCTTTCACGCAACTCCAGCAATGTGAAAAGAGCACCAAAGTAAGAGTAAGTTGCATTTATTTATATATTGATCTCCTTTACATTGGCAGATTTGTTGGTATTAACGAGAACCAGTGTTTGTTTTCTTTTTTTCCTGTTGTCAGCCTTATTCACATTTCACACACTACTTTCAAGGCGTTCTCTTGATCTAAATCTCTTTCTCAGTAAGGTGAGGAGGAGCTAGAAACACTGAGAATACAAAGTACCACTGTAAATGTGTCAGAAAGTAGTAGTTGAGAGAGTGCTGTTTCCTTTGTTTATTTGAACAAATGGAAATTTTAAACTATGCAAAGTTCACAAGTTGATACCAGATGTATTTCTTGGCTTTGACCAGCAGCTCAAGTACAGATACTTACAAGAAGCAAAGCCTACCTCGATTACAGTCATGTGAAAACTCAGAAGTCTGTAGCTGTGAGTCAAAACATTACCTTTTCGTATGGTAACTTATTAGCTACAGGAAATGTGTATGTCCTTTTGCAAACAGGATTTATTTTTTCAGGAAAAGTGGGGTTTGTGATCAGTGCCCTCTGTCAGTAAGTGCATGGATTTGGCTACTGACTGTGCAAGAAGGTATTCTTACACGTGTGCTTACGTGATGAAGCACCAAATTCAGCTTTATGAGCAGCTGATGTTAATGATTAAAGGTTTCATCCAAAACCAACTGAACCAGGCGTAACAGTCATTTGTTTAAGTGAGATTGGGGTAAGGCTTTGGTAGCAGTTGGCAGATGTTATTTTTTCTTGCTGATGTCGTTAGTTAAATTTAACTGTAAGAAATTGGAAAGGAATGAAGGAGTGACTTCTGCAGAACTCTTAAAAGCAGGCAGAGACTTGAAAAGACTCCGTCTTGCACTTAGAATGAATAATGTTTCTTCAACAGCTAAAATTTTACCTCGTTGCCAGCTCTGAAGTTGGGTATTGCACAATGCTCAGACACCTGTGGTGCCACTGGGTAAACTCCTGATGCCTGAGTTCTGGGGAAAGCTCACCAAACCATCCATGCACACGTGCACATAGATGCTTCCTGAAGCTTCCTGTGGTGTCTGGCATTGCACTGCTGGATGTGCTCAATCCACACATTTGCTGGTGACCCCAGCGTTTCTCTCCTGCCAGAGGCCCTTTAGGGGCTAAGAAGAGTGACATGCCAGCATTTAGCTCCTGAGGACCTCAGCACGTGAAATACAGCTCAAATCATGCCTCGGACTGCAAAGACAGTGCTTTACTCCCACCTGCCACGTCGCGGAGTGACCCGTGGGCTTGGGGGTCTCTTACAACCTAATGCCAAGGTAGCTGCTGCAGTGAGGGACGGGTACCTGCAGCAGATAGGTGAAAAAGCAATCCAGGGCCACAAAAGCCACATGTGAAACCCCACGCCTGTATTAAAAAAGGCAAATCCTTCTGAGGATATGTACCACCTCCATTACACTGGAGTCAAAAGAGATGGAGGTGCGCACACTGGCAGATAATAAGAAGGCAGTGAGAGTGCAATTATGTTCTCCTGTGGTGTATCAGTAGTTGGATGATGATTCTGTTTTCACAGATGCAGTTGGTGTCCTGGGGCTCACAACTTGTGTCCTCCTCCTGGGGTCTCTCTCCTCTTTGTGGTGCAGTGGTTTGGAGCTTGCCCTTACATCCCACTGCAGTTGTGTGTTCGTGGTTAATAGTTGGGAATGTATTTGAATGTTTTTCCTTGATTGTGCATGCAGTATCTGAGTGCTTGTTGCTGTTTACGCTCTAAAGCAGGTTATTTGCCCAGAATTTGTTTAAAAACAAAAATGCTTTTTTTTCTAAACTACAAAATCAAGTGTGGAATCTGGATGTTGACAAATGTAATCTGCGTGCTGTGGGATAGATGTAATTGTCCTCTCTGCTTCCAAGGCTTTCACTTTTCTTTATTTCTTTATCCAGTTAATTGCTAACATTGTATTTAAGCATTAGATAAAAGAACTCCTTAGCCCTAAGGTGATACTGTTGTAATGACAGCTTTTGTTGTTCTTGACAGAATCCCTAAACGGATCTTGGAAAGAAGGAGGATTTGTGCCTTCTAGTACCAGCAGCAGTGGATACTGGAGCTGGAATGCTCCCAGTGACCAGTCCAACCCATCCACCCCATCTCCACCTCTGTCAGCTGACAGCTTTAAAGCTTTTCGAACACCTTCCCAGCCAGATGATGGCATTGATGAAGCTGAAACAAGCAACCTTCTCTTTGATGAACCCATCCCTAGGAAGAGGAAGGTTAGCCTCCTGTTAAATTCCATGCCCATAGGCAAATACAGTGTCAGTAGACTTACTGCGCTGTGAGAAAGGAACGCCTCACCTAGAGAGAGCTCTGTATGCATGCATTCCCTCCTTGGCATTCAGTGAACATAGGTACTGAGCCTAGTCACTGTGCCTAGCTCAGCCTAGTCACCTGCTGCACGTGCCATCAGCACCACATATTTGCTAGCAGATGGTGAGGTTCTGCTGATCCTCCTGCTCAGAAAACAGTGATTTCCAGAATGCGTTGCCTCTGGCCAATCAAGGGATTCTTCCCCAGTTTGGCAGATTCTTTGTGTGAAGGATGCAACAGGTAGCCTTTACGTGTCATCACAAAGGCTGCATGTGGCCTTGATATTTCTTGTTCCATGGAAGTGCTGTTTGTCTGACAGTGTGTCAAATACCTTAATACTGCGATGCTTTCACTGCACAAACATATGGGGTGAAAAAAGGAGAGAGAGATCAAACCTGATGGCTTTTGATACAGCATTAGCAGTGGCCAAGTTCATCCTTGGTAGGAGTCTGCAAAAGCAGACTAAATAAAACACCAAAAAACCAAAAAGGCACCTTTATGCTAGCAAGCAGGCTGCTCTTGGAGAGAAAAAGAAAACAAAGACATGGCACTGGTCCAGGTTCTCTTCCCTCCCAACACAACAGGACACGTTTTGCATAGCAAGATGGGAAAGGACTTTATGCAAGGAGGAGAAAAAGAATCTATTCTTCCATAGTGACACTGGTTCTGACTCAGTGTGGGGCAGTTAATTGCTTCACCACCAGCAGGAGGAAGTTCTAATGATTGTTTAAACGTGTTCAGATTTATCTTGTTGCTCCAGAAGTTGCTTATTTGCTGACCAACGCTGTTCTGCCCTTGTTTGTGGGAGAGGGGTGGTTAAATGTTTTTGCTTTTTTCTGAAAGGGAAAGAAAATATTTTGGAGGACACATTTATTAAAATAAATCAGAAGTTGGAGCTGGTTGTTAAACTAAAGCAGACAGTTTTGGATTGTGTGAGGCAGGAGGAGTAGGAATGCAGAAGCGCTGCTTTGCCTTTTACTTGTCAATTGAAGTGATGCTTATTATCATCACTGCTATTGTTGAGCCATGATTAGACAGATGGTTTTACAGCTGCCATCTTTATTGTTATGTAAGTTGCCTGTGAGTATTTCTATTTATGTACTCACCACAGATACATTCCACTGTCTCTTCCTGTTCTCATGGATTTTGCTCTGAATGGCAAATGTTTAACTTTGATAAATAATAACATTACCTGCCAAACTTTGTTACAGTTTAACTGCATTTCCTGCACTTTTTTTTTTAATTCTGATCCCAGCATGGTAGTTTATCTGAGTACATCTTCACACGTTTAGAAACTGAAATGAAAATGTTCGGGTTAATTCTTACTTAGGGCTTCAAAATCAAAAGGAATAAGTGTGGAAATAGCAATTGATAACCTTACTTCGACTCATGAAAGTTTTTTCCATTGTGTGTTTCAAAATGTCACATTAGCAACCACATTCCAGTAAGAATCACAAAATCATAGAATGGTTTAGGTTGGAAGGGACCATCCAGTTCCAATCCTGTGCCTTGGGCAGGGCTGCCACCCACCAGCTCAGGCTGCCCAGGACCCCATCCAGCCTGACCTCACACGCCTCCAACGATAGAACATCCACAGCTCTGGGCAGCTGCGCCAGTACATCACCACCTTCTGAATAAACAATTTCCTCCTAACATCTCACCTGAATTTTCCTTCTTTTGGTTTAAAGCCTTTACTTGCTTAAAAGTTCCCATTACGGTAGTAGTCCCCATAATTCCCCACCAGATCTTCTAGCCGTTATTTTCTTAAATGAAAGTTAAAGTCTGATGATGCAGTTGGACTCGTCAGAAATGGAAGCACGGTTTATGTTCTGTATTTCTGCCCTGCTCTATTTCATTTGGTTATACTAAAATCTGCACATTCCCAGCATGGACAGTAAAGCTAAAAATGCAGTAGAGATAGATTGTTTTTGCCATCTAATCAGAGAGAGGTGTTGAACCGCTCTGTGTTCGTAAAGATGCGCCTGGTGTTGGGGATGCCATAGGGGAGCTCCTGTGAGGTACGTGGGAAGTGTAGTCTTCATGCTGTCATGTGGCTGGTGGAGATTTGTTGTTTCTTAAGCTGATTACTGCAATCAGCTTTTGCTTTGACAGGCCAGCAGCTGAGATTTTTTTGAAGTCCTACTCTGTTATCTTTATAGCAAACACTGAAATTTATCATGTACTCAGGTGCAATTCCAGATGATCCAAAGTGAACCAATCACGAGGCTGATTTCTGTTGAAGACACAAAGGAAGCATGTGCTTGTCTCTAAGGATATGCTTGTTTTTTTAATTGAATGTTATCTGGACATAATTACTTAATCCTACGTGTAGCTTTTGAAATAATGCATTCTGTAGTATTAGAGAAAATGATTTTGGGGAAGCCCAAATTATTTAGGCATTAACATTTTAAATCAGAAATGTATAAAATTGGTTTCATTTGAGGGACTTGAAACTGGAATGGGCAAATTAACAACAAGCCGTGCCAGAGAGCAGGGAGAGGTAAAGCTTGGGCACAGGCCGCTCCTTTCTCTGCACTTTGTAGAACCCAGTGGGATTGTGCTGTTAGCTGAGACAATGACAGTATGAGAAATGGGGATTTAGAGGCTGTAGGCATTCAGCGATTGATTCGGCTTACAGATAAGACTGTTTTATAAGTCTGTGCTTGTTTTGGGTTGCTTTCTCCTTCTTCTGTCCTCCTTGTGACTAAGAATACATTGCTCTCTTTGTTTCAGAACTCAATGAAGGTGATGTTCAAATGCCTGTGGAAAAACTGTGGAAAGGTACTGAGCACAGCTGCAGGGATTCAGAAACACATACGGACCATCCACCTCGGGTATGAGACCGCTGCCTTCAGAAGTCAAAGGGATTTGCTGTGCTTTGCCTGGGAGATGACTGAATTATCCTTGCCTTTTCTAAGATCCAAAGGTTTCTGGAGTAGTTGAGGAGCAATGTGTAGAGGTGAACAGGAACTTCTTCCAAAAGCAAAGCACTTTCTTTTCCAAGCTTTAGTGAACTTTGCTAGAAGGTCTCAAGAAGCTGTGATCACACTGTGCTTCCCCCAGCGGCAGCACAGCTCAGAAACATTTGATGCAGAATTGTTTCCAGTAATGCCTGCTCCCTGCTTGTCATGTCCAGTCTGCAGCTGGGTGAAAGATGGCAGGTTTCATGGTGCTGCATGAGTACTGTCCAGTTTCGTTTCACATTGAATTGCGTTCTGAGTCAAAGCAATTAAGAAAACTGAAAATGAAACCAAGCTGCTAATTCCATGTGTGTTTATTTGGACTAGAAGCAAAAGCTAATGAATCTTGTATGACATGAGGTTTTTTGAGAGCTTTAGTTTTCAACTAAAATCTCCTGTGCAATTCACTGAGTGACCTAGCTGTTTAATATATTAATTACATGGAGACCCAGTGCTACCTCACAGCGTTAGTGAGCAGGCAGTCTGGGAGACAGTCTGGACATCATGGCAGTGGAAAGGGGAAGGGTGTCCAGGTGTTGCCTTACATGCATATGTAATGGAATCTTTTTTCTCATTTCCCTTCTTTGTGGTCCTCACCTGAGGGTTATGCAGATGTATGTGTTGTGTAAGTCTGTGTTACCCAGTGCTTATAAATTAAAAGTGACTGCGAGTTGTAGTCTGGCATGGAGCTCTGGGGGGTTGTGCAACAGTGCTAGTAACTGGTGTTGGGCTCAAGTTCCAAAGACTGAAGCTGTCGGAAAAAATCTCTTTCAAAATGCAGTTATCTTCTTTTTGCTTCGTCCTTTGTATTGCTGGGACATCTTTTGAATGGCATGGGGCAGGGAGAAGTAAACAGCAGAGCTTCCCATATGGAAGATTCAGGACAAAAAAAAATCATGTATGAGCTGTGAGGTTGAATTTTAACAACGTGAGTGTTGGGAATGTGCTAAAATAGTGTTTTGTTTGGGAGTTCCTGATAATGTGTAGACTGGCAGGAATAATTGCTTGTGACTGGGCTGCTTCATGCCCAGCATTTGTTGTCTAGCACACAGCAGGTGGGGCCAGGGGATGCAGGGGCAGGCAAGCCTCTTGCAACTCCTCCCTCGGTAAGTCTGCATCTGAAGGTTAGGACCAGACAGCCCAGCACGGGCAAGCCAGCCCTTAAGTGTCCCTTCTGTGCCCATGTTGGAGTGAGTCGCATGGTGAGACTGTTACCAAGTAGCTTATTCTATTAGGCCAAGGAAAGTTACAGAAAACCGTGTCCAAAACGATATTTGACTTAAGAAACTAGTGATAAGATAATAACTTACTTCCTGTTAGGTTAGCAGGGTTTATCTTGCCCATGCTTGTTACCTTTAAATGCCCTATTGTGGCTGCTTTGTCATTTATGAAGTTAAAGTGCTCTGAGATTCTTGTAAACTTCAATAGTCAGCAATGGGAAGCAAGTACTGCTTGATATTTATGCTGAGGCATAGAAGTTAAACATCAAGTCCAAGGTCAAAGAATTAGAAGAAATAAAGTTTAAATTTCTGCTTCTTTTCCCTTCAGACTGGGTAATTTTCTTTTCCTCCCTAGAGTCAGATCTCTGATAAGGTAGGAAGAGTTAAAACTGGAAATACTAATTAATTGACAGCATGAATATATTTGCTTATGCATCTAGAACTTAGGATACAGCTTAAGGCTCTTGCTTTCATTTAATCATTTCCTTTTTCTTGATACAGACGCGTAGGAGAATCTGACTACAGTGACGGAGAGGAGGATTTTTACTACACAGAAATCAGGCTCAACACGGACTCAGTAGCTGATGGCCTAAGCAGCCTTTCACCAGTCTCTCCATCTTTAGCATCTCCTCCTTCCTTTCCCACCCAAGACGCAATCCGTCCTGAAACTTCCTGTGCCAAAACTGAGACTAAATTGATGACACCTCTGAGCCGCTCAGCTCCTACCAACCTCTACCTCGTACACACGGACCATGCTTACCAGGTAATGCTGCTGAGGGTGAGCTCCACTCACTGCACTGACTTCATTAATGTAGAAGAAGATGTCTGAATACTGTGTTTAGATTTTGAAAAGCCAAGCTTAGTTTTAGTGAGTCAGAGAGTTTCATAGAGCAAGAACAGTTAATGGGGCTTGTTTCATTTAAACCATATGTCCACTTCTGGGTTAGTTCTTTCTGCTCTCACCACAGCCAGTGGACTTTTGGGTACAATCTTCCAGTCGTGTGTAGAGTCATTGAATTGCTCAGGTTGGAAAAGATCTTCAAGATATCAGGTCCAACTGCAACCTAACCATACTACCCTCACTCTGGCAACCCTCTGCTAAATCATGTCCCTGAGCAGTACAGGTGCATGCTTCATGTTGAGAAGAGTTGCTCTGTGTATTCCACTGCCTACTCAGTTATTTCTCCAATGACCATAAGAAACGCCTAAGGTGACATGTTCTCGTGTGATCTCCTGCATTGTAAACAGTCTCTATCAGTCAGCTAAATCCCTCCCACAGTGTTAGCTCTGCTAATACTGAACGTCTGGAAGCAAGTACCCAAAACATGCTAGGAACAATTCCTTTCCTCTACTGTGTGCAGCATGAGATGTCAGTTTGCGTATGTGAAGTAGAGCAGGAAAAATGAAAAGAACGTATGTGATACCCTCCCACTCTTAGAGATAATTCTTTACGAATGGGAAAACTCCAGTCGTATCCAAGGTGCTGTTCAAAAAGCTTCCAGCTAAGTTCAGACAGAAGGCATTAATTGGGAAAGCGCACTAAAATTTGGTATGTTTTGGTCTGGATGCCATATGAGAAAATACGAATTGAGACTTTGAAGTGGTGTGGTCCATGACCTGCGTATGCACTGGAGAACTGAACTCTTAAATTTGTCAGGCGCAGTAACTCTTGTATACAGCATTGTGCAGATAAAACCCTTTTGTTGTTTGTCTGGAACAGCATAGTTTGATCTCCCACGCACTTTGGAAAGCATGAGTGGAAGTCTGGGACCTCAGGTGGGAGCTGCATCAGGTAGTGCAGCAGCCTGGGCACCGATGAAGCCAGCTAAGAGAAGGACTTTCTTCTCAGTCTCGCTTGAGCCCTGCCTCTCCCATAGTGAGGTACCAGATCCTGGCTGCTCGCTTCGTCTGGGATTTGTAGTTGCCATGTTCTTTCCTGCTGTATGAAGACTCACTCAATCCTCCTTTATATAGCAGAGAAAGGATATGCCAGCCCTTTCCATTTTTTTTCCAGCCTTTGAATAACACATTTGATTAAGGAAATTCTGTTTGAAATGTTTCAACTGCTTGAATTGGATTGGGACTGATGTATTCCATGGTATCATACTGCATGTGCCTGAACCCTACAAGTGCCTCCTTGTCACGTTGCTCCATTTTGAGTACTTCATTTTATCAGTGAGGAACGACCCTGTGCGTACTGCATAAGGCATTCTCTTGAACTGAGGTCCCTGTTCCAGTTCCCGTTCAGGTTTTCTTTGCCAAAGAAGCAGCTTATGTGGAGCAGATCAGTGGGATGCAGTGTCTGAGTCCTCCAGCCCAACCAGGGGAGACACCCCACCACGTGGAGTTACTGTATTTTTCCTGTTGCCTTTCAGAGGTTTTTCTCTTTCACTGAACTCAGCAGACATGTGCTTCCTCGAGGAGTTGATGTGTCTGTATTTAACCTCTTGGAACTGCAGCCTCAGCAGCATTGGGAGCATAGCTGCAATAGATGGAATCATTCAGTGGCCTTGGTTTCTTTTGCTTGGAGAGATTCCAGAGAATTGCTTCAGCAATTTGCTCCAAAGAATATTTTTAATGGGAACAATCAGATGGCAGTTTGGCATCGCTCCTCTTCAGAGTGGTTCAGGGAAGCAGTTAGGTGACTCCAGCAGCCTCAAACACAGTCTCTACTTAGATAAATGCTTCGTTTGCTGTGAGATTCAGGTGACTGAAAGACAAAAAGAAAGCTCATTTTTAAGAGCAAATTCTTTATAAATTTTAATCAAGAAGTCTTTTATTTTTTGGGGGGGATGAAAGCTTGAATCTCAGGAGTCAAGGGAAGCCTGTGTTGATAATTGTCGCACTCCTGCCAGACAGAGTAAATGTGAGGTAATGTGAGGTTACAAATTTCCTGACTCTGTCAAGTGAACAGGGATGCAAAATGATGGAGGAAAGGAATTCCAGGGGGCACAAAGCCAAGTGAGAAAAACTGAGGGAAGAGATAAGGTGAAAAATACCAAACAATCCTAAGCTGAGCTCGTTGAGGATTGCAAGCCGGGTATTACTGGGTGTTACAACCAGATGGAGGGAAGGTGAGAGTTCTTTGTACTGAAAGCGACCTTCAGATATTTGCTTTAGCTTCGGCTGTCATTGAATCCCAAGCTTCTTGTTTTTAATAAGAGCAGCTGTTCTAATTGGGATGAAACATTTGTCTGACGAATGAAAAATGGCCAATCCTTACTGCTAATGCTGTTGTCTGAAAGTCCTCTCCATCCAATCTTCAGTTACTTTAACCTGCTGTCACCAGTTTATATAGTTGCTTGTTTATCACTGTGGGTAGGTTAATCATTTGTACTATTTTTTTTGCTGCCAACTGGCATTATTAAAACAGGGTTGTTTTTTTAATATGGTACTTGAGTTCATGTTTTTTCTACCAGACCCAGGTTTTAAAGGTTTTGCATGGATACTTGTGAGAGCTATCATCTTCCTCCAAACAGGGTTTTAACAAGAGCAGTATATAAACATGTTCCTTCCTTACTGGCTTATCTGTGATTATCCTTCTCAGCAACAGGGTAAAATGCTTGTCACTGTCAGCACTGTGAAGGTTTTTTCCACCTCTGAAGCTCTCCTGCAGATTTAGTTTTAAGGAGTAAAAGATCCCTTGACATGCTTTGGAAAATGAATGGTTCTTTTACTGGAATAATATTTTCTTTTCAAACAGGCCACTCCTCCAGTGAACATTCCAGGGTCAACTAAATTCACTCCCAATGGCAGTAGCTTTAGCATCTCTTGGCAGTCGCCTCCAGTTACCTTCACCGGCATCCCAGTAAGTGAATGACAAGAAAAAAGAAAAAAAAAAAAAGAAAGAAGGAAGGAAAAAAAAAATATTGAAGAACTTTTTGTGTGTTTTCAGAGTATCTCATAACAGCAGTGATTTTGACAGAACAGGTACAGAAAAGAAATAAGTCAAGTTTTGCCCCAGTTTGCTTGTGTGACTGACTGTAGCCCTCTTGCCAATCTCTTAAATGCAAGTACAGTGTTTTTTCTCTTTTGTTGGTTTTTTTTTTTTGCCTTGGACCACAAGCAGAGAACAGGATTGATAGGATTGATAGTATGTTTTTTAAAATACTTGTTTTTGAAAGAATTTTCGGGGAGGTGCAGAACTCATCACTGCACGCTGCTTTTTCTGCCACTAAGAGATTGCTTATGAGGCTGGAGATAAAACTAACAAGGCAGTGGTTATGTTAACAGGGTAATTGGAACCAAGCAGCAGGGCTGTTATCTAAATGAACTCTGAAGATGAAGTATAGTTGAAAGGCAGCAGAAGGAAAGAAATAAAGTATGAAGTCTGACCCCAGTAGGCTACAGGGATGTAGCCTCTACTGGCAGCAGAAAGTTCTGTAATTTTGCACAAAACAATGCATGTAATACATAAAGTATTTTTAATATTACTTTTAATATTAATACGTGGTGCAGCGTGACAACGTTTTAATGAAGTATTGGATGCAAAGTCAGCTCTGGCCCTTCCTTCACATAGATGGATAATGTACGAGGCCGTATTTTCTTACAGAACTGCAGAAATTGGTTGTTTGCTGAAACATAGGTTTCCAGTAGTCCTAAACGTGAAGCAGTATAGGTGTGGATACTGTAGGGGGAGGTAAAAACCTTAATGAAAGCTTCAGAGGGATTAGGTGTCTAGTGCCTCGCATGGTGAGTGCTAAGAACAAACATAATCGCTGCCTTCAGTAAAGGAAGATCTTTTATGTAACAAGGAGAAATAAATATGTATCAAATTTATTCTGATTTTTATTAGAAAGCATTTTTTGTTATAAATTAAGATTCCCTAATCATGAACTCACTTCATATGATAGTGTTTCATTTAATATTGTGCCTTCTGAATTTTTACAATGTATTGCATAACACACATTGCTCATTTAAAGATCCATATAGCTTTTTGTCCTACCGCCACTGAATATTGGACATGGTGATAACAGATGCTATTTCCCTCCCTTTTCTTCACCAAGTGAATCTCCAAAGCTTCTTAACGTCAACCTTTGGCAAATGTTGGAGATTTTCTCAGACTGTGGTATCCTGCAGGTCTGATAAAAAACGAAAGTGGCTGAATCAATTACGCTGTGCTCTGCCAATGAATATTTATTAAGTTCTATCAAGGAACAACTCACAGTGAAAGACATCATGCTGTCAGCAATTTGAACAAGAGCGCCTCGACAGAGCGTGCTATCTGTGAAGTTCCTCGAGTATTTGATTTCACAACAATGGGGTTGATACACAGCAATTACAAAACTGGCTCCTTCTGCGGAGTAGCAGAAACTGGTGCCAGTAGTGTTGGGAATCTAAAAGTGCAATTACCCACACTGTAAATCAGGCACATAAGCCGACAGGATTATACGTGTGTGTTGAGTTTGCTTGCTCAAGCAACAACGTTGAACCCTAGCTTTAGAGCTGACTCTTCTCAAGGGAATTCAAGAGATGCCAAATCGCTTTCACAGAATTGCGTGAAGATAGCAGTGATGTAGGTATGATTCAGAAATAATCCCAGTACAAAAACCTCGGGAAGCGTTGATGATAGCAGAATAATAAAGCACTCTGGGAACCATATGAACTGATTTTTATGTGTCTGCTATGTAGGTCGCAGTAATGCCTCCTATTTATTTCCAGGGAAACTCCAACAGATACAGTGAGCACCATGACACTATTTGATAGAGCACATTCTCGGCTAGAAGGGCATTTCTTTCAGAGCAGCCCTTGTGATATTTATAGGGCTGCCAGCCAAAAACAACCAACCAGTCCAACCTTTTAAGTTCATGCACACTTTTATATTCTGTCAGCAGTGAGATCATTTAAGAATGAAAGCCTTGCCTGTAGTGGGAAGTGATGTGTGGTAAGAGCAGATGTAAATACAAAGTGATGCTAAATAACTGCATATGAAATGAAAGTTGCATTTCGCTTGTGTGTTTTTAAGTAAATGACATAGTGCCTTACAAAAGCAGGGCTGTGCTAATTCTCACCCTTGCAATGAGTGCAACTCCTTTTGGAAAGTGGTAGTCATATAGTGGAGCTTCTCTGCCTCACACAAGGCTTACATACAACCAGCCTGTGACAGAGCCAGTGGAATGCATGCTTTGCTCTGAGCACTGTGCATGCCTTTCTGTATGTATTTGGCCCCTGAGGTTAGGTGCATGTCCACAGCAAGCAAGGGAACTTAAGAGGGTAATTCCAAGCCATTACTTTCTGTCTTACCCATAATAGTTACAGGCAATTTTCTAAAATAGCTTTGGGCTACCTTTTTGGCTGGTGACAAACCACTGAGAAGTAAAAAATGGGTATGGATTTACAAAAGTATGTAGGCTACAAATTCTTTCGTGTTACCAGCGGTGTGGGGATAGGATGAGTGTGTCGTGCATGCCAAGAGGGCTGTTGAACCAAGAAGGTTTACAGTGCATAGTAAAGGACTTAATTCAGTGCAGCTTGTTAGCAGCCATGATCAGTAGGACTGTCTTGCACTCCCACTGAAACCTGGGGGGCTGCACTGTAACTGGCCTGCAGCAAACTCCCTTCTCCCAAGCTGTCCCTGCACAAGAGTCACAGGTTAGAGCAATGTAAAAAATCCCTTCATCTCACAAGAGATTATTAGTATTCATCTGAACGCAGGCTGAGGTCTGTTTTTGTAATTATTTTAAACTGGAGAGTTTTAATAAGAGCCTTTCAGAGTCTTAAAAAGCATGAATGCATGCATTTGCTGTATTCCCCCAAATCTTAAGTGATGCTGCTCTGTACTCTGGCTTACTCTGCTTGGGTGACTAGACAGAGAAAAGCAACGTGGAGCTGATATCATGTACATATTTACACCTCCAGCTTCTTCAGACCTTTAAATTATTTGTGTTTGTATGCTGTTTACTGACCTCTCCTTGGTGTGTCAGCCACTGTGTATCACAAATTACTTTTTCTGGAAGCGGTTCTATCTGTCAATATCTGTCAATCAAACAGCAGCAGTTTGATTACCGTAGATTTAAAGGTGTGTTTCTATTGCATTCATGTCTGCATGCAGTTCATAAGTGACCTTTTTGTCTGTATTGACAGGTCTCACCAACTCACAATCGTCCTGCCGGGAGTGGAGAGCAGAAGCAGTCCCACACAGTTCTTTCATCACCACCCAGAGTAGCGTTTGGATTGAGGTATGGGACCATTGGCTCCTGCTGACAGACCAGTAGCTTCAGACTTTGGGGGGTGTTTAGTGAACAAGATGTCGGTGGCCACAGAAAAAGAAGAACTGCAGCACCAAGTGTGGTTGCAGTTGTCAGGCAGCTTCTTACTGGGACATTTCGGGATAACGTATCCATGCTTTTCATTAGCACCAGAAGTAAAGTTCAGGGGAAAAATGAGTTGTCGAGGAATGAAAAGGGCACAGACTGTGAAGGAGAACGGCAGGCCTTACGCCAGGTAGATCTGGAGTTCAGATGCACATCTAAACTCCCCTGTAAAGCAGTGGTATGCAGATCCACAGTTCCAGCTGAAGCATCTTGAACTTCGTTGCTTTTTTCTCTGAGATGCTGTTGCATTAAAAAAAAATCAAACTGCAATGCTGTATTTCTTCTAGTAAAGAAACTCTTTGTTTCTCACAGTCCTAAAAGGTGACTGAACCCTAAAAAGACAACAGAGCACTAGGAAGATTTTATGCTTTTCAGTTTCAGTGTGACTCTTGGATCATCACAAGTGCTATAAATGGAACTTGGGATGTTCCCAATTCATGGACTGTGCTTATTGTCAGTAATAAAAAAACTCATAAATATGCAAGAGAATAATCACAAGGCAGCTCCTGTGTGCCATGCAGTATCTCATGCAGGTATTAAACAGTTGTGTCTGTACACTCATTTGACTTAAGGACTCTAGGTCTGGCAGCGCTGCTGTCATGAGCATTGGGTCACTCCTTGTAGCATTGCTCCTCAGGTTTGCTGTGTGTTGAGTAGTATTTTAACATTTATCTTAATCATTTTCTGCAATCCTCTTGTGAGCTTTAAGTATGGTGGTAGGATGGAATACACGACAATCACGGTGGCTTTAAAAGCAGGTACTGCCTGCCTTGCTGGTTTCAGGGAGGAAAAGAGCACACGTGAACACAGAATCACAGAATGGCCCAGGTTGGGAGGGACCTCAAGGATTGTGAATCTCCAACCCGCCTGCCACAGGCAGGGCCACCAACCTCCACATTTAATACTAGACCAGGGCTCCATCCAATCTGGCCTTGAACTCCTCCAGGGACGGGGCATCCACAACCCCTCAGGGCTGCCTGTTCCAGCACCTCACCACTCTCATAGTAGAGAACATGTTGCAGCTGAGGGCTGAAACTTGTTTTTAATTGCCTGGATGTTGTTCAGTCTGTGAGCTCAGCAAACCACGCAGGAAGGATGTACAAACTTAGGAGCTGGCAGCGCTTCCTCTCTTTTGCATAGCTGCTGCATGCCTACAGCCAAGGTCTGCTGCTGTGCACTGGGCAATGTATTTGTAGCGCAGCGCTACAGCAGAGAGCACTCGTGTGCGATGTGAGCCTGGCTGTGCTGTGGGATAGCTGTGGTTGTCCATTACACCTTGGCACTGCGTGTGGCTAAAGTAACACGAATGTAGACCAAGCTGAGCCTGGCTGAAGTATGGGCTGTGCACCAGCCTAGGAAGAGGGGAGCAGGCTCAGCAGCTGCTGCAAAGGCTTCAGCCTTGCCGTGCATCTGCTTGCTTCATTGCTCTTGGTCAGCTCACAGATGCACCGCAGTCTCTTAGAAAGTGAGGCGTGCTCAGCCATCTGCACACCGCTGAACTCACTGTCCTGACCTGGGGAGGTGAGGCCAGGCTGCAAAACCGTAGTGTTAACGAGCTTCCCTTTCTGTCTGACAGGAAGCCGAGAGGGGAGGGGAAGAAGTGTCGGAAGGTCTATGGGATGGAGAACAGAGATATGTGGTGCACTGCCTGCCGGTGGAAGAAGGCCTGCCAAAGGTTCATCGACTGAAGAGCAAAGTTATGCAGAGGATTTAGGGATGGGGAAGGACAACGACAGGACCAGATTGCTACACCTGCACTGTATCACTTCCTGTTTCCCTCCAGTGATGTGGTGTTGGGATTTTTGTTTTATTATTTTTTGATTTGTTGGTTGTTTTGGTTTTTTTTTAACAAAGAGAGCTTTGTATTTCCAAGTGAAGCACTTGTAGCCAAGGAGAAGCACTAATTAAAACCTGTGTGGAGCAATAGAGCAAAAAAAAGTAAAAATAAAAAGCAAAACCAAGAACACACAACAAAATTCTGTCTTACGAAGTACTGACACCGGAGCAGCTATCAGTGTTTTTCTGTGTTGGTTTTTAGAAAAAAAAAAAAGGAAAAGTGAATTCCTTGCTAACTCTCTGAACTATTTGCTCCTTTGGGTTATTTTTAACCATTGCAGTCTGTTTGCTGCCAACATCTGTATTTGCTAAACTGGACATTTTTTCTTTTCCTGAAATGAAGATCTCTTTTTGAAAGCTTTCTAATAAACACTTCAGAGTCATATAAGCTACAGTTTACTCAACAAAAGCTGTAACTAAGACTGGAGACTGCTAAATAATTCTCCTGATACGAATGATCACGATGATATTATATTTTTGGAAAGGGGCTGTGGGAAGGAGTTGGGATTTTTGTTTGTTTCTTTCTAGGAGAAAAGAAAAGGCGGAATTTTCCTGAAGGACAAACTGCTCCTGGAAGGCTTTTAAACCATACACAGACCAGCAGAGTGGAAAGGAGTAACTCATGTACCAAACTGGATTTTGAGCCTTTGGAGGAAGAGAGGCAGCAATGGACAGTCACCAGCAGATCCGTCACTGCCAAAGTGGAGGGAAGAAATGCAATGACGGTTGATGGAAATCCGTAAGAATATAATGGGGGTCCGCTGGCTTTTCTTACTGCTCTTCCTGTTCATAGGGAGGAGCAGCAGCTGGACCAGCACACGCGTTGCTGCGGTAGGCCTGTAAAGAGCTGGGAGATGCACTAGGATTCCATGTAGTACCTGTTCAGGGACACGATCCAGTCCAGCAGTTCTGCTCTTGCTTCCTTTTCTCGTATTTGAGAGATGGTTAAGATAATGGTTTGCTCAGCTTTGGTTTTTTTTTCTACATATTAAAGTTGCTAAAATTTATTTTGCGCCAAAAAAAAAAAAAAAAAAAAAAACAAAAAAAAACCAAAAAAAAAAGGTAAAGAAAATACCACAAAATCATCTCAGAAAAAGAAGTACAGCAGCAAAGGAGCAACATATGTATGGTAAAGGTTCATTTCTTAGCTCGTTTTGATAAACGAAGTAATGGGTTTCTATACTTGCAGATGTTGGAAAGATTGGATACTTCCATGTCTCTGTCCATTAGGAAGTACACCTGAGTGTGGGAAGCTGTGTTCTGTCTCAACTTACGTGGAATTGCCATTAACTGACCATTATTTCAATGCAGAAATAAAGTAAGGATTTACTATGATATGAATGTATACCAGTAAATGACACTTGTCTGTTAAACAAAGCAAGACACCTTAAGGGGGAAAAAGAAAAGTGAAACTTTGCTTCTTATGGAGGCGTAGAGGCCCAACATTTCTGGCTTTCTTTTCTTCATACCATTTGAAATTAGACCAGATTTTTTTGTTGTTAATTATTTAATCTGTCTTCTCCTCTCTGAGATAAGGGACTCTTGATTATCCTGACAGCTTTCTAAAATCTGGTCCAGAGTTGACTTGATAGCTTTATTGAGCATGCTCTGCTGCTTACGCCTGTGTGAAAGCACAGAACAACAGTGCAGGCATTGAGAACGTGCACTAGGAATTGAGCAAAGCAGTACTGAGAGGTGAAGGATATAATAGAAGCTACTGGAGGATGTCATCTGGGTTCTTTTTAAACAAGTTAATTGGGCAATCAGATGCATAATTTGAGCATGCTATTTCTGCAGTTGTTTACAAATTGTGTAATTTACATGCACAAGCAGCAAGATATGCTTGCATGCACGCAATTTCTTGCTTATTTGCCTATTGTGTTCTGTAAGTCATTTAAGAAAACAACAGGAGGTAGGCTCAAAAACATAGATTGAAATATATGCACGTATGTATGTGTGTATCTATGTATATGCACACGTACATGTATGTATACGTAAAATCTGGAATCAGAAGGGAGGAGAAAGATTGGGTATCCATAGCCACTGTTTTAACATTGGTTTTTTCCCAGCAAAATGTGGGTTTTCTCTGCATGTTGTGTTGTTTTGGTTTTCTTAGTAAACCACCTCTGGGAATTCATAGCTCCAAATTTCATCTTTGAACACTTTGTGCATTTCTGTAGTAAGGCTTACTAGACCTGGGTCTTTCAGAGATGCTTCTGCTAATTTGCCCCTATTTTTACAAGCACTGCTAGACTGATTATAAGGCATCTCATAATTCATTTGGCTATCGTAAGACCTTCAGTATTTGCTTATATATTTGTTCTTCCCCTCCTTTTGTGTTTTGCCTGTTTGCTTTGGAGAATTTTGTAAAAAAAATGTATTAGAATGTATGTTATTTTCTTAATGTCATGGCATGATGAGAACCTTTCCTGAGGGCACTTTATGAATTATTGTAGTAAGATTATTCTTAATAGATTTCTGCACAGAAGATGGGTGGTGTTGTCAGCACAGATCGCTCTCTGGTACACATTTCATACAGATTACGTATAGGCACAAGAGCTGCGAGTCATCAGGTGTGATAGAGAAATTTTGTTAAGCTGAGACCAGGAAATGCTTCAGCCACCACAAATTCTGCCAGGACAGAGTTAAACAAATTCTGCCAGGACAGAGTTAAACAATCCGTATTTTCACACCATTGGCAATCAGCAGAGTTTTTATTGAATGAGTTTGGTATCTTTAGGCTGTGGCATTTCTGGTGCTGCATCTCACTTGTGGCCTAGGGTGGCACAGCCCTCGTGCTGCCTGAGGCCATCCCCCAGTGCTTCAGATCTCAAGTTCAGATTGATGCCTGTCCTGGCATTACCAGGCACCATGCTTTGCATCCAAGTTCTGCACAGTTCCTTTTAGAAAGAGTAAAATCCTTTGTTCCCCAGGGAGGAACTGGCTTGAAAGGCGGCTTGAACCTTGGCTCATTTCTCATCATTGGTACCCACCATTTTCTGTAATTTCTGTGTTTGTAGTTTTATAGGCCTTCATCTCTGACCTTCCAGAGAAGTCGGGAGGAGTGGCCAGAGTTTGTCATGCGGTGTTTGTGTGCTGTGGGTGCTTGGGTGTGTGTGTACTTATGGCAAGAGCTGGGAGCTCTCCCTGAGGTGTAAGGATGGAAGGATCTGTGTTAGCAGCATAGCTAAATACTGCTGTTGGTGCTGCTTGGAGAAACTGCCCGTGTCAGTGTCCCAGTGGCTATCAGCAGCATAGCTCCCACATCTTTTCTTCAGCTCTCTTGCTTGCACAAAGCTACATCCCATGTCATAGAATCATAGAATGGCCTGGGTTGAAAAGAACCACAATGATCATCCAGTTTCAATGCCTTGCTGTGTGCAAGGTCGCCAACCACCAGACCAGGCTGCCCAGAGCCACATCCAGCCTGGCCTTGAATGCCTCCAGGGATGGGGCATCCACAGCCTCCTTGGGCAACCTGTTCCAGTGTGTCACCACCCTCTGTGTGAAAAACTTCATCTAATATCTAACCTAGACCTCCCTGTCTCAGTTTAAAACCATTCCCCCTTGTCCTATCACTATCCACCCTCATAAACAGCCATTCTCCCTCCTATTTATACACTCCCTTCAAATATTGGAAGGCCACAATGAGGTCTCCCTGGAGCCTTTTTTTCTCCAAGCTGAACAAGCCCAGTTCCCTCAGTCTTTCTTCACAGGAGAGATAAATGATCCCATTTATTCCATCCCTAAACAACAACAAAAAAATCTGGAAAAAGAGGTATTCTAAGAAATGCAGTTTGAAAATGTGATTGTGTTCCACCTGCTTCTCTATGAAACAGCAGCTACTGGACGTTACGAACTCCAGTCATCATCTTCATAACATTTGTTTCCATCCTGATGTGCCTGATTCTCTAGTGCCTTGCACAAGTGTAAGGGGTTACACAAGATGCAAAGTGAACAAAAACTCTTCCACAAAGCAACGTGCAGCTTTGCACTTGCCTGTGATCAATAGCAGTCAAGGCATGAGCTGGACCTACAGGGCCTGTGTGATTCAGCAGGGCAGAAGGCCAGTCCCTCGAGTTGCTTTGCCCACGTCAGTAGCCTGCTGTGATCATTAGCTGTCTGACAGTGCGTGGATTCCTCACACCATTCTGTCACCTGCATCACTCTCTTCGTTCCTTCTCCCCTTCAGCAGGATCACAGGCAGACAGCAGAAGGCAAAGCTTTCCCAGAAAGTTCTTAGAGGACGTGCATTTAAGAGCGGATTCCAGCTCTGTCTTGTCTCAGACTTGGATTTCCTTGCCCCAGAACACTGGTTTTCATTTATCCCCACCCGCAGGACAGGCTGTGGTTTCCTGTCAGTGCTATGGGCTGGAAGCAGCTGGAACCGCCCAGCCCAGGATACAGGGCAGTCAGTCATGGCTGTTAGCGTGGCGATGCAATGTGATTCCTTCCATCCTTCCTCTGTAAATTTGTTGAAAAATCACCTCAGAACACGGACATGAAATGCAAAGATTGCTGGCTGTATGTAGAGATCCAGCAGGTTGCTAGAGAGGCTTGTTCCTGCTGAAATTGAAGTCTTCTGTAGGGGTGTGCTCTCCTTTTCTTAAAAGCATTTGAATCAGGATATGTTTGTGAAGTCTCACCTTTATCTTCTGTTTCCACATTATTGCATCTTCCCTTAGGTGATGGCACCGGAGTTGAGACCTGCACCAAGCAGTGGGTTCAACCTGTGATTGACAGGGGTTAGCAGGTGGGTGGCTGGGGGCTGCTGGAAAGCAGCGATGTAAGATTTTGGGCTACTGTACGCACATGACAGCTTTATGACACCCTTAGCAAAATAATTGGTAGCGCATTAGCAAAAACCCGAGAACAAGGTGTTGCAGTACGCGCCCGTTCTGCTTCTGATGGCACCAAGCAACATTAAATCCTTGTTGCTCCTATTCTTGTTTGTATTAGCAGCAAGAATTCATTTGAAATGTAAGGGAATGATCAATTCATTGACAAGCCACTGTTCTGCTTTTATAATACATCACTCCAAGAATATTTTTCCTTCATTGTTAATGGGAGATACCTAAAATGCCGTGAGATAAATGAATTAAGCAATGCCAATACTACTTCAGCTTCTAAATTACTTTGGACAGTACACAGTATTACACTGTCACAGTAGGGTTTCGAGATGAAATCCAAATTCTTGATGTGCGTCCTTGTAAGACATGGTCTCTGATGTGCTTACGTGTTCATTTTTAACATCTTTGCCAATGGGAAAGGCCATGATTTCTAACTTGCATTTAAATCCAGTCCTGTTCAAAAATTTATGTTTGACCTCAGAGTCTTTATGCTGCCACGTTATACCCTGCGGCCATTCGCATACAGTGTGTAACGTGCAGGTAAACAGAACTTACTGAACTGTTTGTACACAATGCCTTGGGAACGCTAGCAAAAAAAGAGATGGTGAACACAGATTTCCTCAGGGACCACAGGAAGGCTGCAAAGGCAGGATGTAGCTTTATTTGAGTGGTAGATGGGTGAGAATTTGATTATTTCTTTTCTGTATTCTAGGCAGATTTAAAGAGCAATATGTCGCTACTTGAATCATTAAACTTGGAAGAAAGCACTAATTGGTGAACGTGATCTCACTTAACACTATCGCTTATGAAGCTCTAAATACAAAACAGACATTTTAGCTGTTAGAAAAATGTAGGAAATGAGCTTGAACCATAATCTAAATATAGTACAAACCTATACATTTGTATAAATATTTTCAGAACATGCTGTAAATATAAAGGGTTCTTGTTTATATGATTGCTTGATTGAAGCGTACTTTGTTTATAATTGAACTACTTCCTACCAATTTATTTCAACAAGCAAAAAAAAAAAGAACATGCTAACATTAAGCCCACAGGGTTTTTTGCATTGCAATAGGAATGTGAGAAAAAAGAAACGTTGTAACTGTATATTTTACCATATGAAAGCATTTCTGAGATAGGTAAGAGGTGTCTATTATTTGCCATCAAGTGGCAGGGAACTTACCTGAGCACATCAGGAAGAAGTGTGTGAGCTGCATGAAAGTGTTGTGTACAGTGCCACCCACCTGTATTGTGGTGCACACAGCACTCCTGGAGGCACAGGGCTCTGAGGACATCAGGAAATAACGAAGTTCACCTAAAACACGAGGATATTGTGCTTTTAAGACACAAATGATGTTGTCCCTGTGTAATTTTCTAGTGCTAAAGATCATCAGTACTTTTACTGCAATGGAAATTGCAGCCTTATTAGTAAGGTGCAATACTTACGAAGGGCTAAACTGTGGAAACAAGTGGTGTGTGGATACATCACTGCCAAATGTGCACTCTTGTAAAACTAGTTTCTTTAGCACTGGGATGTAAGTACCTCTCTGAAATTATCATGTTGGTATGATTTTATAACCATTGATTGTAAGTTATGAAACAGAATTTGGGATTTCAGAAGAACCAAAAGGAGGAGGGGAAGCTGTAAATGACATAGAATAGTGGTACGTTGTCTTACGTGGCAGAAGTAGCTGTGACACCTTTACAAAGCTGTACACATTTTGGATTACTGAAAAAAAAAAATAATACCCTTGGTTACAAAAATAGTTTAACCTGAATGCAGTTTGGAAATTGCAGTAATGTCAAGAAAATACCTTCTTCTGAGTAAATTTTGCTTCATTTCTTGCCTATTATTATCAGGCTTTATTTGTTCACAATCAGTGCTCTGATTGTGAAGATATTCCCCAACTAGCAATACATGGCTTGAAATCATGTTCATTTGAAAGTACCTTTTGAAATGGAGAGATTCTTCCTTTACTACCCCGTATAATAATGATTTGTGCTGTCTTGAGTAGAGAGTCCATCAAGCAAATAGATTTGTACAAAAAGATTACTTTGTAGTTCTGTTATGGAAAGAATGGGAATGACCAAATGGAAGGGCTGCTCACCTCGTTCCTGGAGAATATCTTCTCTCCATCCGCACTGTGAGGTCCACAGAATACAGGGTGCCCTGTGTGGTGCATCCTGGGCTTTTGCTGTACACTAAAGACATACTGCTGTTTTTCCATTGCTTACTGCTTTTGTCATCTTCTCAGAATCCATCTTTTAGTGAAAGATTGGAACAGTTCCATCTGCTGAACAGGAGGGGTTTGTTCTTTTCTTCTGACTTCCTCCAGTAAGGGGCCAGAGGACAAGCTGAGATAGAGACATCAGCAACAGACTTGAGCCTGGAGGGAAGACATGAAACAAAATTGCTCAGAGAAAGAAAGTAGAAGGAATCTTGTGTGTTGGCTGTTTCTACATATGACTGATGCCTGTGGCTCCAGAATAAGGTCGCACAGAGGAAGCCTTGTAAGCACAATCCTCATTCAGATGCTGAAGCACTTTTTCCTCCCTCGTCATGCAAACAGTTCAGCAGGAATTACTTCTAATTAGTCTGAGGAGGAGAGGAAGAGCAGAAGGTGTTGTTGTAAGGAGGGCACCTTGTGAAGCCTGCATGAACCCCGCCTGTAGCCAGGGTCCCGCACTGCATCTCTCATCCTGCATGAGTCCAAAGCAGTCAGTTACAGATGTCTCTTTTGATTTCATTTACAAGTCTGGTAAGACATCTTGTTGCACAATAAGAGCAAAATGCACTGTAAGGAACTGAGCTTGATGCATTCTGTTTTTTTCTCAGGAGAGCTCTGTGGATAACTTCAGTGACCAGGACTGCTCCTGTGGGTGGCAGCTCTAGAGAAGAGGCAGTGGATTTTCCTCCATGCGATTGTTCCCACTGGCACTGGGACTTACAGACCTGTGTGTCTCCCCTTCTGAGTGCTGGAAATGAGAAATGTGCAATCAGGCTTTGTGAGAGGGGTAGATGTGTACCTAGAGATGTGCTCACTGCTGCTAGGCCTTGGTGGCCTTTCCAGTGATACCAGAGTGACTGTAGGTTGGATGTGTCATTTAGGGGTGGATTTAAGAGCTGCTTAGCACGTGGTGTTCAGTGTGCCATGCATCTCACTACTGCCAGGCGTGGGAAGGAGGTTTCTCAGAGCAGGATCTAAGATGGCTGTCAGCCCATTGTGGCCAGTCACGTAACCTGGGCCACCCAATGGGAAGTCACCCCGTGCTCTGTAGAGAAATTAATGTTCTTCTTTTCAGAGAGTGAAATGGGACTGCCCTGGTTTTGCCTAGCACTGCCATTTCCTGCCTCAGCTGTGGGCTCAGTAGGGGCCTGGACACCAAACCCCTACAGCTGCACTGGCACCTGCTCACTCAGAGCTCCTGCAGTACTATTAAAACAGCATTGATTTTGATATGAAAATGATTTTGTAGGGAAAGAAACAGGAGTTACATCAATAATCCTATATCCCGTGAGCCATAATGTTAAGCGTGGCATGATTTTGCTAAGCAGATACTGGAGGGCTAATGGGACATGAAGAGCAACCTGTGGGGACCTCAGTCCTGCCCTGACCACAGGTACACCCTGGAGCCAAGCTGATGTTATTTGGGTTAAATGGGGAAGTGCTCTCTTTCTCTCTGTAGATCTCTGGGCCACAGAGAAGCAGGATACATTTCTTGTCCTGGTAGTGGAACTTTCCTAAATAGAAAGACCCATCTCTTCTTGCAGATTTTTGGTCTCTGGAGTACAGTGTCAGTAGGACGGTGGTGGGGAGTGCTGGGGCCTGGTGGGGAAGGGTTCATGATGTACTTGGAGAAGGAGAAAATCAATTGCACTATGATTATTTACACTGTGTGAAAAAAAAGCAATTATACTTCCTAGTCATCCGCTATTTATATTTTATATTTTAGAAGTATTTCTAGCTATAAGTCTGTAGAAAAGCAAGAGCCCAGTTAGCCGGTGTTAATGAATACAGAACTTCTCATACATGCTGCTTGCATAAGACAACAGTATCCATGCATCCTTCTGTCTCTTTTCAGTCATGAAAGGGAAGTACCTGCCTGCATATACTGGTTTTCCTTTGAGTCCTATCAAATATTGTTTTAGAGAGTATAAAGTAAATTGAAGTTCCTTTTCTGCTTTATTTTTAGAATCAGAGCATCTTCTCTTACAGTGTAAATTTACTTTTGTGGAGCTCTAATGTGCTCTGCATTGCACTTTATATATTTGTCACTTGTTGGGCCATTTATTTTTGATATACAAAACAATAAAATTTTTGTTACTCTAGTTTTACCTAGAAAATAACCATGAAACTAAGATGTTTTTATAAAAATGCAAGTTCCATAAAATGTAGCAAATGAACTATTTAGATTGGAAATGTTTTTAATGATAGCGCTGAGAAATATTATAGCCTCTGAAATGATTTACTATTTAGGAAATTCAATATATTTATGGATAACATGAGTATCCACTGGAGTATCAGTCAATGGAGTATGAATAAACAGGAGACAAAGCTGGAGCGGTTGGATTTGCTCATATAAAAGACTTGTATTAGTTCAACTGATATGAGCCTGAGATGGCCCTTGGCTCTGCAGGGCTGCACTCATGCCAGTATGACTGACTACCATGAGAAGCCAAGATGCTGTTTCTGCTTGTTTTTCTCTGGCTTTATCCCCTCCAGCTTGGGGAACCAGCGTCCTAAAGACAATCTTCTTGTTCCTAAGTGCACTAATGAAGAACTCGTCTTCCCCAGAATTTTGTTGTCAAGCATGGGACCCTTATACTGTCCACATGTAGGTTAATATGAGTGCCAGTTTCACTGCTTTAAATGGAAACCAATTTCTCTGCCGCTGCACAGGATCTCTTGAAATTTTGTGGAGTATGCTGAAAGAAAAAGACATTTGCACTTTGTCCAAACTGCGTTTGCTCCAAATCACAGCTGGTACTGTGTTCCTGCAGCACCCATCCTGCAGAGCTGAGCAGTGAAGGGGACGAGGGCTGTGATGCCCCCTCCTTCACGTGGTGAAGCACTCTCCCTAGCTGTACACACAGGTTCTCTGTGGAGAGATGGAAATCCCCGTGAAAGCTCCTTGTCAGCCATGCAGCAGAGTCCCTATCCCTCTTCAGAGCCTTCAGGCGCTCTGCTTTCTCATTTCTGCACCCATAGGTGCCAGCAGAAGTGAATGGCTCAACCTCACAGTGTGAAGACAGTCCCAGCTTGAGTTCCGAATGCATCACCTTGCCGTTGTTTCACACAGCCTCACCTTCACCTACAAAAGATAAGCAGGGCCAAGGGACTCTGACGGATGGTGGTTCTTCAGGCAGCGCACACAGCTCTGCTGCCCAGCTGCTTTCTGCATTCTTGGATGCGTTTGAAGGAAAGTTGAAAAGAGAGGAGACTTTTGCAAGTAGCTGATACTGGCAATCTCATTTGATCCTGCCACTCTGAGGCAGTGGCACAGATGTAGGTTCTTCCACTGCTGGCTGCTTGTACATGGCTAAACATCAGCCAGCAGACACTGTTTCTTAAGCTGAAACCCCTCTCAGAACAGGAAAATGCCACCATGAAGACCTTTGTTATCTCCCTCCCTGTCTTCTTGTTGCACTGGCAGCAGGAGAAAAGTGCAGAAATCATAGGAACCTGGCCATAACTCATCCAAATGCCTTTGCACTGCCACAGGCATTAGATGAAAAACTCGGGGCATCCAAAATTTCTCTAGGAATTTTGCTGTTACTTTCTTGGGGAAAAAAAGGATTTAAAGTCTTTGGGTCCACATCTGAGTTGATTTTGCATGCTGAATCAAGAGCACTTCCAACAAGCTTCAGATACGTAGGCAGTTATCCGTAGTACAAGTGATGCTACTCGAACGTTTTGATTATTTTTCTTAAAACATTTGTGAAATTAGCAATGTGCATATTAGCATCTTTAAATCTATGAAGAAAATAACTTTAAATATTTTTTAAAAGCATGTGCTTTCACTTGAAACGTGAAAGAAGACTACTGAAAGAATGTAGTTTGCTAAGCACTGGCTCCTGAGTTTGTTAATGCACTAAACTTGCATTCGACAGAGTAACTTCTTCTAAGTAATAATTTCTTCTCGAATTATTTGAATAATTCAGGAGATGAACAGTTTGTTTCTGGTCGCTGGGTTTTAGAAAGAAGAAATCTCGTCCTGCTGCACTTTTAAAATTCAGTATTTGTATGGAAAAAAAATCTTGTTGCTTTTCCATTTCCAACTGAATGATCAGCTCAAATAAGGATCTAAATCATCTCGTAACTTTTTTCTAAAGTAAAAACTAAGAACATGAAAAACCGTGAATGTGAGGAATGGTGCACAAAGTCATTAACTATGTTCAGAATTCTGACTGGTGAAAGTCTTTGTTAAAATTATGTTGTGTTGCACATCACCCTGATACAGGGAGAAAACAATTTTTCTTCTGAAAGAAAGAAAGAAGAGGGAAAAGGACAAATGGAAAACAAGATTAAATGACATCAGTTAAACCCGGGTTTCCTGCTTGTTTTTAGGTCAATCCCTTCCATTCTATCACTGTTGTGGGATGCTCAGGACAACAGACATTCCTCAAGGGAAGCAGCTCGGCTCCAAAGTGGGAAATCAAAGCTGTGAGCAAATTTGTAGAGTTTTCAAAATATTAGCTATTGCCAAAAAAAGCATCAAAGCACTACTTGCTACTGAACGGGAATTTCGGTGTTTCAAAGGAATCACTTTTTAATCCAGATCATTGCTGTATTTACAAACAGATTTCTGTCGGTCTACTTGCTTGTCTCTTAGGGCTATGTATGTCCACACCTCAGAGCAGGGCACAACTAATACTCAGATGGCCACAACCGAACTGGAATCTCTTGCAATTCCCAGTTACGTTACACATTTTTTGAAGAAACAGCAATCTTTGACTGAAAAACTACTGAAAACCATCTCAAAATAAGGCAACGAGAAAAAGAAACAGCTTTATTTGGGAAACACCACTGAGTTCCCATCAATCCACAAGATGCGTGCTTAGTTGCCCTCCTGTAGCTTTGTGAGATCGCATTTCTGTTGAAGGCAGGCGGTGATTAAACTACATAGCAAAGAGACTTCCTTTGATCTATGTAAATGAATGTATATGTATAAACTATGCATTTTCATCCAGCTGCAAACTGTATCTCTAAGCAGTTAAATCTAGCCTTTTCCTCAATGTTAGCAACTCCCAAACTCCAGGAAAAGAAGGTGCTCCTCATCTTTTTTAGCATATAATTCTCTCCTGTCTTGCTTCTGTGCTTTACAAAGGCAAGATGTGTGAGGGGAGAGCTGTGAGGCCCAAGGAGCACCAAGCAGGGCCATGGCTGAAGCTGGAACCTGTGACCGAGACCAGGCTGGGCCCAGCATGGTTGAGCAGAGGGCTGTGGCTGCTGCTCCAGCTCCAGCACGTCTTCCACAGTTGGGCAGCAGAGCGGGATCAGCAGCTGCTGCCTCACACAGGGTCAGTGGGAGTCTGCAGCAGTGCTGGAAGAAGCTATGCCTAGGAGGAGGCCACTGCAGACTGGGTTTACAGCCCTCGCTGTCCCCCTGTGAGAGCTTTTCTGGCCACCACAGCCCCAGGTCTGTCCTTACCTCTCCATGTCACACAGCACCCAGGAGCCTCCTCTGACTGCAGGTGTATGGCAGCGCTTGCAGTGGGCAGTTCTTCACTGTGAGCACTGCTGTGGCTTCAGGAGAGGAAGGGTCAGGCCCTGGTCTGAGCGTATCCCTGCTAGAAGGAATTAGGAGAAGTTGAAAACGGAGTCTTGTTCCTAATAAAATGAAGGAAAAAGGTGCTGCATGCAATGTTATTACTTCCATTTCAGGTTGTTGCTGTAATATTCATCAGCCCGGTCTGGTCAGTGAATTAAGTGTGTTTCTTATGGCTTATCTTGCAGGAAGAAAGACCAAAAAAAAAAAATAAAATAAAATAAAATAAAAAATAAAATAAAATCCTTCTCTCATATGCAACCTATTCAAGTATTTGATACTAGTATGGCAGCAGTGGTATTTTTATCTATCCAGAGATGTGCATTCATTTAGGTTATGCTCGACTGAGAAATATTTTTGCAGTATGTATTTGTATTTGATGGGCTGCGGCCCTTCATTTTATATTCTTTACAAGAATTAGCACGGAAATGATGCTTCCCCATTTACTGAGCTACCTGACCATCCCAGCTGTCTGCATACAAAGTATTTCCAGAACTTTGGAGGATTTGGGATTTTGGTTTGGTTTAAACACTGTCCTTCTTTAAAAAACAAAACAAAACAAAACAAAAAAATTAAAAAAATAAAAATAAAAAAAAAAAAGCAGTGCTCAATAGAAAAGCATATTCCTTACCAGGGCTCCTGCAACGTGATGCAGAGAACCCAGTGACACGATGCAAATGCTTGAGGCCAGGTCTCCGCAGGTTCTCAGCAGCCACAGCTCCCATGGCTGCAGCACGTCCACCAGCAGAGGAGCTGCCCCCAGGAGGGGCACGTGGAGCTGCGGGGTGCTCAGCGTGCTGCGGGGCTCTCTGGAGCTGGCACATCCTCCTGCCAGGACGTGGCCTGTAACAGCAACAGAAGGACACCACTGCATCTCTCTGCAACCCGGGATGTCCTGCGGGTGTGCTGCGGCTCCGGCTGCAGTCCCTCAGCTCAGAACTCTGAGCGCAGCGCTCGGGCTTTGGCATCACTTACGATCACAAAGGTAACTTTTTAAATGAGAAAGAGCTTCCAACTCTGGCACTAATGGAAATACTGAATACTTTTAACATATATATATATATATATATATATATATATGTATATGGAAAGTATTTGAAAAGAAAAAAAAAGTATGGTTTTTTTTTTATACAACTTTTAGCCAAATAGAAGCATTCTGATTATTACTTCTGTGGACAGCTGTCCACCTGTAAATAAGTTCCTATGTTCAGGTACCTGAACTTGGAGAAAAAAAAAATAATAAAGACTGTTCACTGGCTATGCGCTTTGCTAGCTCTTGCTTCCTTTGTACATAAGAGGTAACTGTTTAAATGTTGGGTGGGGTTTTTTTTAATTTAACTGCTGTTCCTCTAAAGAAAGAAGAAGAAAAAAAATCTTTTGACTTTGTTTTCTCTTTTCTGAGTCAATACAAAGATTTTGTAACTTTTTACTGCAGAAATGGATAAATCCGTGGTGCTATGTGAATCTGAGAGTCAAACTGGCCATAGCAGACACACAAGTTAGGATGCACTTTTCCTGTGGCACACGATGTATTTTCTCAGAATGGACTTTCAAAGGACCATCAGATGTTTACATTTCTTCTTGTTGCCCCAAATCGTTTTGGATATAGAAATAACCTTCAAAAATAGAGAAAGACGCGATGCGTTACCGATGTGATGAATCCTTACACCTAGGTATCTACAACAGTTTGTACAAATACCATTTTAGAGATAGTTGAAATATTGGGCTTTCATACTTTGTAATGCTTGGATGTGACAATAAATATGCTGTTGCTATCTATCTAGTCTAACCTCATTGTAGGCCTGTAATTTCCTGTTTATGGTTATGTCATGAATTGCACTGGCTTGACTTCAGCCAAATACTGACTGTTCAGCTGAAATATTCCGACTGTTATGATGTCCACAAAACATTAATTAAATGCACTTGTAACCGACTACTGAGGAGTATGTCAAGTTATTCATGTAATAAAACCCATATGTACGACTTTTGCAACTTGTTTATGCGACTTCAGTTCTTTTACAGCCACAAACACCAGCAGATCGACCAAGGGCCAATTTAAGTCCATGGCAGCCTTCACGTGGACTTCATTACAAACAGGACTGTCTCCCCTCCCTTCGATTAGAAGGTAGATAATACACCAGAGCATGATCTGAGACATACAAGATAGGAACAGGGACTTCAAATTTTACACTTGGGCCCACTGATTGTTAAGTTCAGCCTTCAGCAGGTTTACTCCAATTACTCCTTGCCACTTCTGGGCTTATGCTACAGAACTGGTCCTCCTGATGTACATTACATTACAAGCACTTTTTCCTGCCCTGCCCTTGCCTAGCAGTGGGGGCACATCCCTGTGTACACCAAGAAACATTCCTGACAGCCTAAGCTTCAGGATAAGCCTTCTTCCTCATGGCAAACCTAACGAAGCTAACAGCTTCCAACTTGCAAGTTGGAGACCATCCCCCAAAAAAGGTAAAAATTTACACTGTTTCTGTCCAAACTCTCAACTTTCCTACTAGCTTTGTTAGGTCATATTTAAATTTTCCTAATGCATTCCTACCCTCTTCTGCAAAGCCAACTGCAATATAAATAGCAGAGCTATTAAATTTAATGAGTGGTTTAATCACTCTTCGGTTCATATTTTTCTCCCTTCGGGCAACACCTCACCGCACACACGGAGAAGCCATCGTCCATCTCTAGTAAGGAAGATCTCTGAGCTCACCTGTTCTCCAAGGCAGTGAGAACAGCTCAGTGAAGTGCCTCCATCCTGCTGCCCACCGCTGCCAGTCGGGTTAGTCTGAACGGCCCCTCCTGAGCTGCTGGGAGAGCTGCTCCTTGGGAGCTTCTGCTGGAGCAGTCCATCAGCTTCGGAGATGCCTCCTGCCAAGCAGGTACCCAGAGCTGTCCAACCTGCACCATGGGAGACCCGTGACTTAGTGATTCCACAGCCAGCTCCTCTAGAAATAAAAAGGATTCTGAAGTCATAATTAGCAAGGAAGCGTTTAGTGCTATTTCAGATTAAATCCCACTAATTAAATGCCACTCTAAGAGATAATAATCTCTGCTGCCATTGATGTTTCTCAAGACAGGCACGCTGACCAGCACAGCTAGCTTCATGTAAATGACATGCTTTGTAATTCTGTACAAAGCAGAAGAATTAAAGAAAAGTTATTTCAGTTTAGTGCAAGCTTGAATCCCTTCACTCCCCACAGGCTGTGGCCCTTTTTGAGCTAATTCCAGACAGCTTTAATAAATAAGTGACTACCTCACCTGCATTTGGTTTAGAAATATTTCATATCTTCACATACTTTAGAAAATGTTGAGCCAGAACAATCCTCTCTCCGCACGCATTAATAACTTTCTCTGAATTCATTTCTTTTATCTAAAATAATTCCCTAAATTCAAATTTGGGTTTCAAATACTCTTGGCTGCAGGAAAACGGGTTTTCTTGAAATATTCTGTGCATTTTATATTTCAAATACTGTCATCATCTTTTTCTACACCAGTGCCTTTGAGACCTGTTCTCCAAATGTAGTGTTACAGAATCATTATGTTATGGTCTTGCTTCTTGTGTGAGATCCCAGTAGGAACTTGTTGCATTGAAAAAAACATTTCAGCAGTGAAAGTGCTGCTTCAGGAATAGTAGTATTTGGTTCCCCTTAAATGAAGGCATTATTTTCTATTTTACGTGCTTAAGCTGTCAGCTTTTCTCTTCTCCTCCCTCCCACTCTCTTACGGTGCCAAGAAAAATATTTCAGTTATAAATTTGGCCTTATTAGTTTGAAGTCTGAGCTGTGAGAGATCGTGTTTTTGCAGTAGAAAACTTCTTACACTAAGCTATAGGCCTTTACTAAACTCTCTTACAAAATGGCTGCAGGGGTTGTTTTTCACCAAGAGCTGTTGAGGCAGAGCCTAGTACAGGGTTGAGTGAGAATGCCAAGTATTTTGTTTTTCAGAACGTTCTGACCAGGTGGGTAGATATCAGTAGTAGCTGAGGCAGATAGGTAGGGTAGGGAGAGCCTCGTATACCTTGTCTTCCTGTCCTCCTTGATGAATAGGGAACCACAGGTGAGCTTATTGTCCTCCTGTTCCCCTTTGAAAAATGAAAAACAGGTGGGTGATAGACCTTATATGGAAGCATACCTTAGCAACTACTTCGGGTAGGTTGTGAGCTTGCAATGCTCGGCCAAGGAGTGCCAGAAGAGATGTGACACACGTTGGAGAGAGGATACATAACAGAATGGACTTCGCTGACACGGTGTGCAATTCCACCCTCGCCACAAGGGTGCGTGCATCCATTACTGCAATAACGAATAAACTTTGCTGCTCCACAAAGATCACTGCCTGACTGGAAATTGCTGATCTTTCAGCGTTTCTCACATAAACTACACTTATTCTTTTAGCTAATAGAAGTAAATACTACATTCAGTGTTTTGTTCTAAATTTAGCTTTGGAATGGAGAAAGAAAGAATCTGCACTTTCTTGTCTTACAACTTCCAGATGTTACCACCATGAACAGTTAAAGCTATTTTTTTTCTCCCTCACAATCACTGGGGAAGGAGTTTTCAAACACATCAGTTTTAAGGCAAGGCAAATGTCTGAGCTTTGCCCTGTAGCCACCCACTCTGAAGCAAGACTTATTTATTTGTGAAGCTGTCAAACAAAAGGACACCAATCAATCAAACAAATAAAGAACAACAGGAAAGCCAACCTTACGGACAGGGCAGGGAAAAAGGTAGGATGAATCACTACCAAGGTTTGAGTTGAACTACCAAGCTTGTTATTAATGAAGCTGTAGCATAGCTTGAGGTGTCTAAATCTGACTGCAAGTCACTGATCCACCAAACTGAACTTGGTTTAGAAACCAATTTCCCCAAATTCCTTTCAGAAATGAAAACATGTAGAAAAAGGAAAAATAACTACAAACCAATCCTTTTTATCAGAGATGAGATTAAAGATAAGAGCAGGCCAAGGCTGCTGCTGAACGCCGCCGAATGCCTGCCAGTCTCACCGCCGTAGGTGGGAACCGCACGTTCCGCGCCCGTCAGAACTTGAGGCCCGATCACCGCAGCTGCAAACTTGTATAGTGCTGACCTCCTGTGGCCTGCAGTGAAGCTGCAGCTGGCAAAAGGCAGCGGCACGCCGAGCCTGGTGGGATAGCGGCTGGTGGGGAGCCCTGAGAGTGCGGGGAGCACAGCCCCGAGAGCCTCCCCCGGCCCTTTTCATTTTCGTGTTTAACTCCTCAGAATGCAAAATCCTAATGGGAATTATAGAGTGGTTAAGTTTGGAAAAGATCTCTAGGATCATCTAGTCCAACCGTCAACCCATCCCCACCACATCATTAAAACATATCCCTCGGTGCCTCGTATCCACATTGCTTGTACATCTCCAGGAATGATGACTCCACCACCCCCCTGGATAGCCCCTTTCAGTGCATTACCACTCTTTCTGTGAATAATTTTTTCTTAATATCCAACCCAACCTCCCATAGTGCAACTTAAAGCCACTATCCCTCATCCTATCACTGTGACCTGGGAGAAGAGGCCAACTCCCACCCTCTTTCAAGGAACTGTAGAGAGCACTAGAGGCTTCCCTGAGCCTCCTGTTCTTCAGGCTGAACAACCCCAGTTCCCTCAGCTGGCCCAATAAGCCTTGTACTCCAGACCCTTCACAGCTTCATTGCCTTTCTCTGGACACACTCCAGGGCCCCAGTGTCTTTTTTGTAGTGAGGGGCCCAAAACTGAACACAGTACTTGAGGTGCAGCCTCCCCACTGTCGATCACCTCCCTGGTTCTGCTAGCTGTGCTATTACTGATTCAAGCCAGGATGCCGTTGGACTTTCGTGTCCATCTGGGCACACTAACTGGCTCAGCATCTCACACATTATTAAACACGACCAGTCTACCAGGCAGTTCTTAAACTTGGGGAAGGATTTGGCAAAATTCCCCACAAAAAAAAAAACAGCAGCAACTGCAGCAGCAGCAGCAATCTCCTCCCAGATTATTGCAGTCAGAGACATACCTGTGTCTTTTTGTCACTAGTACTGAGCTACCTTGTTCTGTGCAAGGCAAAAGAGAGTCCCTCTCTCTGTGATTAAGTGCACCTGACTGACTGATAGGTGAATGTGCACACCTCATGCCTTGATGCTCCTCTCATTGCCCCATTTCCCCCACTTGCTGTAACCCAACCATCACAGTGAGCCATGTACACAGAGCATCTTCACTACTCTGCCTCCAACCATTCACCCGTATCACCCAAAACATTTCACCCACCTTACTTAGACTCCAGAGGACCAGAAAGTTGGTCAACAAGTGAAATCCCAACTATTGTTATTGAAGTCCCTCAGTAGTGAGCCCATTTCAGGTCACAGTGCAGCTGCTACAAGCTTCACCAGGAGTGAGCTGTCAAAGCCCCAGAGCCATGAGGAGCAGAACAGGATTCACTGCAGTCTTAACCCAGCCCTAACCTCTGTTGCAGCAGGCACAATGTCATGTTGGGACTCTGACTTGCTCCTCTATCCCTGCCTCCTGCCCTATCAATGCACCTGGCTCTGCCCCACAGCTGGTACAGGACCTCCCCTACCCACGAAGCAACAAGACTCTCACCAACATTACCCATACAAGCAATGGTGTTTGGAATCCCACTACACAAGCCAAATTCCCTCCTGCAGCCTTGCTTTTATTGGAGTCAGGGAGAGCGCTGCCTACACGGCCATCCTTCCAGAGCACCCTCAGAAATGGGAGCACACCAGAGATGTCTTCATCTGCCTACAGAGCTGGAATTGCAAACACAAACATGGGAGTCATTTGAGCTAAACCTAAAATCTCACCCCAGAAGGAGCAGAGAGCAAGCCACCCCCAGATATCGCTGCCAGACAAGCAGAATGCTTTTTAGCCCTTTCCAGGACATCAACAAAGCTTTTAGCCTATTAGAGCAGAAACAGGCTCTTCTTTTCACCTCTCCTTGTTTTTCTCCTGTTCTGCTCCTTGCAGGCTTCTTACTCTGCTGTGTATTGGTACCACTGCCATTATTTCCCTTCAAGCTGGAGGTATGCAGTCAGTAAAGTGGTGACTCACATAACCATGCCAAGCCTGAGCTTTTAGCTGGGGCAGAGTAGGCTCTTGGCAGTGCTCACGTGCTGGCATTTCTGTTAGAAGACTCAAATGATGTCCTCTGCATAAAGGGCAGGGTTCCTTCCTTCTGTTCACAGACCTCTTGACCTGGGAAAGCAAAGAGGATACAGAGTAAGGAATGGAGGGAGAAAAGGAAATGGTTTTTACTTCCTTGGCTTTGGTAAAAATCAGAAATTTCCAAAAATACTCTGAAAATCCCATTCCTGGGCTCTATTCCCAGGCTACTTCTTTCTTGGGTTTTCTTTCTTCTAAAGGTTTATGTTCTCACCCAGCACGGTGGGCAGAAGTTCTGGTATTTCAATCTGAACGTACGCTGTGTGCCTTGTTATGAGGGGTTCATTTTCAGAGCTTCCCCCCCCCCCCATCAGCTCTGATGCTTTCCAAGACAAAAAGTGCAATCTCTGAGTGAAGACGTTTCATATTTAGGGTCAGCCCTCAACAAAGATGCATCCTGCACAGCACTGCTACAAGCCGTGTGCAGGGAGGTAAACCTGCTGTAGAGGAAGGCAGAGGAACTAGGAAGTTATCAGAGGAAAGTTAGATGAAAGAGGAAGGGAAATGAAGTAAGCAGGTGATAAAATAATTCTGTTATAGAGGGAGAAAGCCAGAAGGATCAAAGGATCTCTTTTATTTGCATTTTATCCTCATTTCTGTTCCTTGCAGTTTCCTACCTCTGCTGTATATTATTATCACCTCTACTATAAAACTTTCCGGTTGCTTGCAATTATCCCCCCTTTAATCTCACACTAGGCTCTTCCCCTTTGATCCAGTGCAGCACCATATGACTGATTGTGTGACTGGTGCATATGTATGTAAAGACATTTATTTTTTCCTGCTATTTGCCCCCTTCTGTCTCCAGCTTAAGTCTGTGAAGTCTAGGCAAAGTTTCATGTCTTTCTCAAACCCCTTTCCGATTATCACTTTTAGTGTAGGCACAGCTCCCAGTAAAAATGCTAGAAATGGAGAGTTCCACCTAACATCACCACTTGGTTTTTAAATAGAAGTTATAATTATAACTTTATACAATAAAAGAACATGAACTATAGAGAGAAAGAACTTACTAGGCCCCTCACTACAAATTGATGGAAAATGTCTTCTTTACCTTCTTTGCAGAAGCTGAGTTCCCATCAAACAGCCACAATAAGCATCCCAACAGCTCAGGAACAGAAGAGCCACGAAAAGGAGTAAGGAGAGCACTCCAACTAAAACTCTCATCATGGCCTCCACAAATCTTCCACAGGGCAACAAATCTTCCAGAAGAAAGCAAGCTTTTGTTTTCCTTAAGCACTAAGAACGACCACATTTGTGTCCTCCACTTCAGATTCCCTAAATACTCTATCTGCTGGCCCCTTTACAGCTAACAGTGTGGAGCTACTGCTTTTAAAAAGGAGGTGAACCCTGCTTCCTCATCCACAGTTACAGAATCACACCTGTCCCTAGTACTGCCCTCTTTTCTGTCACTCTTCTTGTAAAGATAAGAGTTGTTCAAGATTCATAAAGAGAAACGGGTGATTTCATTTTATCTTCCTTAGTGTCAGTTGATGGAAAATGTCTTCTTTACCTTCTCTGCAGAAGCTGAGTTCCCATCAAACAGCTACAATTAGCATCCCAACAGCTCAGGAACAAAAGAGCCATGAGAAGGAGTAAGCACGACCTTATCAATAACAATACCAATAACAACTGAACAAAGGGTCAAATGAACAAATGCATTTAGATTTCTTGCTTTATGCTTTGGCATAGGATTCATTGTTTCCCTGGGGTTAAAAGGGACCACTGTTGTTTCTTGTTAATGTTGTTCTGCATCTAAGTAAATCCACTCATAGTAAGGCAAGTTGCAGCACCTCATTTTCTGATATTCGTAGATCACACTATGATCTGAAAACGTCTTTCCACTGCTAACCTTCACAGACAGCGTTGCAGCAACAAGAGATTTACATATGTTATTGATTCAAAACAGTGACCCCAACATCCTTCTGCCTGGCGTCGGTCACAAGTCCTGTTCTCTGCACACAGCCATGCCTCTGATGAAGTAGCACCGCTTCCTTCTCTTCTTAAAACCTCAAACAATGACAAGTTTACTGGTGCCCCCACACTCTGCCCTGGTGATCAGTTTATCTTATCTCCCCAGAAATGTATCCAATCTGTGTATCGCTGGAGGGTCTCACATCAATAGCAAGAAACCATCTTGCTCTGCAGAACTGAGGAGCTCTGTGCTACAACACCTTTTGCAGCTGTGAGTCTCACCACCCACTCATCAGGCTGCCTTTTTCAACCATCTCTTTAGTAAGGCACATTACTCAGGTTCCTGAAATAATCACCCTGAGGCGTTATTTTCCATTTTTGTGGTCCTCCTTTGAACTGAAGCCAGCCTGTGCCTTCCCAAAACATTACAACCTTGGTAATAAATATATCTGATAAGAGTTCCTGGAGTATTACCATCAGTGAGCCGGCAAATGGCCACAAGTGTTGGAGAACATAACATGAAGGAAATACAGAACAGACTGTGGAGGTGCTTTAAGGGCAGCTGGCCCTGTGGGCAGCACAGCTGGGCACAGCTGACACAACCTGACTCATGGGGCTGGGTGCCCACCTCAGAGACCTCTAAGGGAGGAAGGGAGGGAGGGGCAGGTTTTGGTGATTCAAGTCTCCTACAGTCTACGTGAAGGAACAAAGTAGTGGAGTCCCATTTTTGCTTAATTTGGGGTATTGGTGTTCCTTCTTCCTAAGTTGTAGGAGAGAAATACTCATTTTGTATGAGTTAGCATTAAATTTACAGTGGTACTACCCATCTTAGTAGATGGTGAGAAGTATAATGCTAGCTCACAACATCAACAAGTCGTTGTGAATGGGTTGTGGATGGGTTTACAGGGCTGTAACTAGAATGCATAGAGGTAATTACCCTGAGGTAATATCTATGCAAGTATATTTTTAAGTGCTGTGGTGATCTGTCTGACCCTCACAAAGGGAGACATGCAGTGGGTAATTTCTGACGCCGCTCCCATGAGGTCTGGTGTGAGCAACACAAAGCAGAAGGGCTCTCACAGGCTGCCTCAGCAGCTCAGGTTGCCCGGGCTGTCACAGCCTCACAGCAGCCTCCTACTGCCAGGAGCCCGGAGCTGTGGTGTGCAAGGAAATCCCTCCGGCTTGATCTCTTAGGATAAACTCTGGGAACTCTGATTCCCTGACTGCGGCATACTCTATCCTAAAGGGAGAGAAGAGAGCCATGAGACAGACTGAGCTCTGTCTGGCGTTTTGATGTTTTCTCTTCTGATCTTAAGGTGTGATCTGGAGCCTGAGTGGTGTGTGTTTCATCAGGAATCGAATTTCAGGAACAGATGCAGGGGCTTCTTCATAGCCTAGAGACTCAAGGCTGTGTGCAGTTTGTTCACATTCTTTTTTTTTTTTTTTCTCAGACACCCACTGCATATATGTAATCTAGAATTTCAGGCACACAAAAATACTGTTTTTTCACCATCTTGTTGATGAAATGTATCTTAACCGCTCAGAAAACTGCATGGCTCTGATGGGAAGTGAATGGCACACAGCATGAAGGGGATATAAGCAAGCAGGGTGCAATTATCCAAAGTGCAAGCTGACAAGAGGATAAGGTCGTGCTACCTCTCAATTACTCCAGGTTACTTCTTAGGGTAAGTGAGAGTGTGCTGGCACCTACAATCCCTAAACTGCAAAAGGAGATTCTGCAGTGTGTGTTGTTCACCCAAAGACTTCCAAAGCTGTGTCAGCATGCAGCTATGAAGAAGGGGGAGAAGGATGCATGTGTACTTCAGAGGAAACGCTTGGTTACCACAGCTCTTCATCCAGACAGATGGGAAGAGTTATTAGATTCTCACTGCAGAGGTCAGAACTGCAGGCGTCACTGGGAAATTCAGTGCAGCTGTCTGAAGGCATAGACAAAGACAGTAATATTAAAGGAGAGGTACCTCTCACTGGGGTGTAGTCAGCAGTTAGAGAAAAATACAGAGTTTGTACACTGTGAAAGCAGCAATATGGAGGATTTTTGTTTCAATTCCTAACCCTAACACTTCCCTGCCATATGGTCTATTTCAAACCAGAATGGCCTCTTGGAACTTCTGAATGTGGTCCATCAACTTCGTCTCCTCTTCTGAGACTTCAGTTTTATTCTGAGTGCAGAACTTGTGGCTCTGCTGATTTCCTTCTTGCACAACTGAACAGTTCTTCTGCTTGTAAGGCAGATAGCAAGAACTTGCTTGGTGGAGGTGAACGCCAAGTTGGAAGTGACACTTCTGTCAAGGAAAATTATGGTAAGGATTTGTCCAGTTTAGTATAGTCCTGTTTAGTAAACATTTGATTACTTTTTTTCCTGATCAAAACTTGGAAGAGTTGGGTCTGAGTAGCCATAATCTACATTAAGGTCCTCCATATAGGCTAATTGTCAAATATATTGAGCTTTACAGTTGCTTCAAAATTTAGTGCAAAACTCTTTTTATAGGAAAACAGAACTATTAAGAAGTTCATTTCTCTAGGAAAAAAAAAAAAGAAAGCACGTAAGATTTAATTAGTGAATCAATCATCTTAATTTAAACATGGTTTGCTGGAACACATTGAAAGAAACTAGGATGGGCTTGGTAGTAACCTGTGTATGCCTAAGCCACCCTCCTGGCTGGGAGCTCTGCCTTTGTAGGAAGACCTCCTGGATGCAGAGGTTGCACCTTGCACAGATGAGAAATGTGGCACTGACATTTTATATCGAGTTGTTTCTGATTTGAAAACAGACATCTTTGATCTGTTCCTGTTAAAACACAACTCAATTTGGTGAATAAAATCTACATGAAAAGCAAAGCATGCTGTTAGGGGGAATAACTAACCCTAAGTGATCATCCAGGCTAACAGAAGTTGGATTATACGCCCAAGGCACCTATCTTGCTTGTTGAGCTGAGTTACTGAGAATGCTTTCATTCAATTATTTGTGCCATCAGTATGAGCGTAATTCACATCTCTGTGCAATTCCCTGCTTGCTTTAAGCTTGCTTTAGGAAGGAACAACAGGAACACCCTCTTGCAGATCCTGCTTTTTGAAAGGCTGGTGCTTGTTGGTCTGCTGTAAAGATAAACTTCAGAGTCCTTTTAGTGCTTTCAATAGCTGGAGCTTTTAACACAAAATGAGATAGGAAACTGAAGAATGGGTTAGTGGGGACAGCAGCCACAGGAAAAGAACAGACAAAATATGAGATAGTCTGTGCTTATATGCAATGAGCTGTGCTTAGATGCAAGGGAGATATTTTATCTCAAGCTGGCAATGATTTCTGCCTTTTTGATCTGCCAGTGTACAGCTGAAGGAAACGTAACAAGAGAGGCTTCAAAACCGGAGGCATTTGAATGCAGCATTTTCTGAAGTAGCTCAAAGTTATCTGAGACATACAATCAGATGGTCCCTAGCAGGGAAGGAAAAAGGGCTAGCTAGCAGTAAACAGCTAATGAACATTTTGTGTTGAGTAAAAGAAAGGAGTAGAGGAACTGAAATCAATGAGGATATTGGTAAATATCAGTAAGGATGAGTGTGGGCAAAGCCTTGAACGTTAGGATCCCAGTGGAAAAAAAAAATAATGGGAAAATGAAACGGTCAGTTTAAACTGCAACATAAACTACCAAGTGAGAAACCAGAAGTTCTTAAAGATTTGCTGACAAACTATATGAAGACATGTCACAAAATGTAGCACCATAAAACAGACACAAAAATGTAGCCATGCTCTACAGCCATCAGCTACGCTGCTGTACTTAATAGTTTGTCTAAACTGTGTTTATGTCCTGTCCGCTTCTGCTCTCCTTGCATGTCCCAAGAGTTCACAAAAGCAGCTGGACACATTCAGCCCACCAGTCCTCATATGGCCCAGGAGAGGTTTCTAGTCTCTAAGATGTGCATTCTCCACAGGGCTGGTGGTTTGAGTACGTAAAGATAAAGGAATGCTTTGTCTAGGACAAAAGATACCGAGTCAGGCCCAAAAGGCAAGGAGTGTGCAAATATAAAAGATAAATGAAGGACAACTTCTATCACTTTGTTTCCTTCCAGTGACTAATACACCAATTTCAGCACATAAAATACAAGCTGTGGCAAGTACCTCAGGAACTGAGAAAAAAAGGGGAAACAAAGG